GCATCAGTAGCTCATACCTATAATCTTAACTACTCAGGAGGCTGAGATCTGAAGATCAGGATTCAAAAGCCAGCCTGGAAAGTCTATGAGACTCTCGTCTCCCTTTAAGCACACATACATACACACACACAAAAAGCTGAAAGTGCTAGCCTTGAGCAAAATCTCAGGGACAGAACCCAAGACACATACACACACACACACACACACACACACACACACACACACACACACACACACACACAGTTTAAATATTTAAATACCGTGAAAGTACTTTTCAATGTAATAGTTTTCTTTAAAATACTATGTGTGAATCTTGCTATATGTATTAACTGTTTTGCTAGCATATATTAGTTGTATAAGATGGATTTACATTTTTAAATTAAAGTCATTTTTGTTTGTTTTTGATGGTCTCAGGGCTTGAATTTTTGCTTATCTTGCTTTTTTGGCTTGTACCCTATCATTTGGGCCATTCCTTCAGCCTGGCTTTTTGTTGGTCATTTGAGAGATTCTCTAACAAACTCTGTCTGAGTTGTCTTCAAACTATGATCCTCCAGATCTGAACCTCCTGAGTTGCTATGATTACAGGTGTGGACAGACATCCCAGGAAATAAGGTGGGTGCTGCCACCCCAGGCCTGATGAAAGCCTGCAAGCAGAGGTTAGAAATGACAGGCAGGAACGCACAGGACACTGACTGGATGGATGACTTTATGTACAAAAAAATAAAAAAGACCTTTTAAAAATACAGAAAATCACCCAGCTGTACACACACACGGATACAGCTGTGTCTCCTTACAATGCTTTGAAGATGTGTGCTCTCTGCCACAACCAGGGCTGGGGAAGATGGCAGGCAAGGTGTGGATCACGGCAGCCACTGTGAGAGCCATTACGGAGGTTCCTACCCTACAGTCCCGCAAATCCACTCCTGGGCACTCATTTGAAGAAACGCAAGGCAACACTCAATCCAGACACCCGCATGAACGTGTCTGCAGCAGCGCGGTTCACAACAGCCACGCTGTTCACGTGACCGAAGTTCCAACAGCTGATAAACGGTGTGCATGTACACATGGGGTATGATTTAGCCATCAGATGAATAAAATGTTGTCAAATGCAGGCAAATAAATGGAACTGGAAATCACAGTGTTAAACAAAATAAGCCAGACTCAAAGAAAACCAACAACACGTGCTGCCTCTTATATAAGCGATCTGGATCTGAAAGGAAAGAGAGATAGGAACCTAAAAGGGGGCCTACTTGAGGATGGGTGGGAAAAGAGAGGGAGTGAGGAGAATACGATTGAATGCATTGCATACATGTATGAAAAGATCATAATTATACCAGATTTCTTTTTAATTTTGCACGTGGCATGGTTGTGCATGTCTTCAATCCCAGCTGTTCAGGAAGACCAGTAAGGAGTATGGTTTCAGGCAGGGGAGGTGGTGGGAAGCCAGCCCAGAAAAAGGCCAGAGACCCTACCAGAAAAACAAAGTTGGAAATAAATAAAAATTAAAAGAAGGAAAGAAGGAAGGGAGGGAGGAGGAAGGGAAGGAGGAAAAGAGAGGGGAGGGCAGGGCACGTACCTCCTAGTACTTAGGAGTGAGCACCCAGGTCCTCCTAGTACCTGGGAGTTAGCACCCATGCATGCCTGGGAGACTTCTGCATCCCCACCTAGAGGGGCCCCAGGCCAGAAGGCCTATGGTGCCACCTGCAGTGGAAGCACCCTGGGCCCGCTCAGGGAGGGTGCGGTCACCACCTGCAGGGAAGTGGTAGAATTGCTCCAGCCTGCTAAAGGAGGGCAAGGGCGCCTCCTGCAGGTTTGGAGAGGAGGTGCTCCAGCCCACTAAGGGAGAACAAGGGCAATGTGGCCTGCAGGTTTGGGGAGGAAGCACCCCAGGCCCGCTTAGTTTTCTAATAGTTTTCTTAATAATGGCCATTCTAACTGGGATGAGGTAGAATCTAATATTGTTTCAATTTGCTTTTATTTTATGGCCAGAGATGTTGAACATTTCTTCATGTTTCTATTGGCCATTCTTCTTCCTCTGAGAAGTCTGTCTTTAAGTCTTTAGCCTATTATTTAATTTTTTGAGGGGTTTTTTTGGGGGGTTATTTTTTGCCTTCTAAGTATACTTTAGACATGAAGCCCTTGTCTGAATCAGTGGTGGTAAAGATCTCCTATCCTGTGGGCTGTCTTATTTATCTTGCAAACTATGTCCTTTGCTACGCAGACGCTCTTCAATTTGGGCATTTATCCAATAGAACACAAATGCCACACTAAAGCAACCAGCACAACCATGTTCATTGCAGCATTATTTACCATTGCCAAGATATGGAATCAACCCAGATGCCCCTCAGTGGTGAATGGATCAAGAAATGTGGTATATATGCAATGCAATGGAATTCTATACTTCCATCGAAGTGTAGAGGACATGGAAGGACATGGAAAGACTTAGAAAAAAGTATATTAAGCAAAGTAAGCCAGACCCAAAGAAACACAGGCTGCATGGTTTCCCTCATATAACTAGAAAGTGCCTATAACTACAAGTAAACACACTGGGAAGAAAAAAATATACCGAGACATGATAAATTATCCAGGTCTCTAGACTAAATCACACTCAAACTGAGGGAAGGTACTCACAGGAGTGGATCACAAAGGCTCATTATGTGCATATGATTATATAAAATCTTACAAGATGAAAAAATATAAAAGGAACAAGGATGTTCACCACTACCCCTCTACCAGTCTCAAAGTGCTGACAGTGCAGTAAGTCAGCAAAACCACAGGGTGTATGCTGAGGAATGGGAGATGGAAAGGAACACATAGACTTGTCTGGTTTATAGCCAACATGATTGCCTTAGAGTAAAATCTTGATATAAGTAAGAAGCATCCTCCTGGAGTTGTAAGTTCATTTAACACAGCACAAACATTAACCACATTCCTATATGTAAGGAAACACAGCTTTAAGTCAAAATTTAAAAGAATACCATTTACAACGGCTTAAAAACAAACTAGGTATAAATTTTAAAAAGACATCCTGACTGTGTCCTAACGGCTCCATAAAAAGCCAAATACATAGCTGGGAGCCAGTGGCTCATACCTGTAATCTCAGAAGACTGAGATCTGAGGATCATGGTTCAAAGCCAGCTCAGGTAGGAAAGTCTGTGTGACTCTTATCTCCAATAAACCACCTGAAAACCGGAAGTGGCGCTATGGCTCAAGTGGTAGAATGCTTGCCTTGAGCTGAAGAGCTGAGGGATAGCGCCCAGGCTGAATTCAAGCCCCACGACCGACAAAAAAATAGTAATAATTTTTTAAAAAGCCAAACACATAATAAATCAAATGCATGCCACACTTATAGGCCTCAGTCTAGTAAAGAGGACATGTCCTAAACTGTTTAAGGATTTAGAGTAATACTAATCCAAGTCCTCATGGGACTTGCCTCATACATTTATACCATCTGAATATCAGGTTTGTCTACAAAGAAATTAGAATGGTTCAAACAGATCTCAAAAGCATACTGGAGGAGGAAGTACAAGAGCTGCTCTTCTAATTTACTTTCAAGCTAAGTTAATTGGGGACCTCGGCACTGGTGAAGGCGGAGTCTCTGAGGCCAGAGACCAGGAGGGAGATGACTGCAGTGTGATGACACAAGTGTGGCCACACGGTGTGATGGCACAGGTGTGAGACAAGTGTGGCTAATCAAAGTGCAGACCATTCACAAAGATGTCAGATCAAGTCAGTGAAGAGGCGATAGCGTCCTTCACTTGTGCGCAGCCCCAAGCAAAACTAACCAACCTTATTCTAAACCTCACACACAAACAGCCAAGTGTGTGGACACACACCCGTAATTCCAGTACTCAGGAGGCTGAGAAAGTGAAATAAGAGAGCTCAAGGCTATCACTGGGCTTCCTGAGGGACCCTGTTTCAAAAAAAAAAGAAACAGGAAGAAATTAAACACATGGAGCCCACACACCTACAACCTACTGATTTTGACCATGGTGTGCAAGCTTATTCTGTGGGGAAGGGAATCTTTTTCATAACTGGTGCTGGGACAACTGTAGAGTCACTAGGAGGCCAGCGCAGGGCCAGCAGCCAGAGGAGGTCCTCACAGTGACCCCACAGTAAGAGCCTGGAGACGTTTGGCACTGCTCTGCCTAGTGACTGGGTGACACACACACACACACACACACACACACATTACAATTCACAGAGCTCTAAAACAAGCCTACTTTTGTGTGCTAATTGCAGGAAACATACCAAATACACTGAATCTCAGTGCTGACATTCAAGGTAATAAATAACCGTGACCAGCCGGATATATATATGAATATGTTCCAAATTGGCTGCCATCGGAAGAGGTCCCATTTTCCTCTAACATCCTAAACCTAATGATGACCATCTTCTCCTCTGTTCTCCCCATCTTAAGGAAAGCAACAGAATTCTGTCCACAGGTTTTGGGAAGGGTGGGGAGAAAGTGATCCACACAGCAGGGCAAATGCTGACACGAGGCCGGGGTGGGAGTGGGGGGGGGGGGTGAGGGAGGGGTGGGGGAGGGAGGGGGTAGGTGCGCTGGGCCCTCAATGCGGAGGTGCCAGCGTGCCATCTGGCAACAGGGACTTGCACTCACCAGAACTTCGCCCGACCTTGTGCTCCACTGGCTGAATTTCAGTCCAGCTTAAAGGGAAGCTAGTCATAGGGAGAAAGCGTGTGTGCCCTATCTCCTTCCTGCCTCCATCCTCCATCCCAGCCCCAGCCCACATCCTCACCGGCCCAGAACTGGAGTCACATGTGGAGGCTAGGTGTGCTTGCACCTCTGCCTTCTGTGCGCCCCCCACACACTGGTGGCCAGTGCAGCCATGGACAGAGGGTTGAGCTGTGGGCTGAGCTCCAGACAGCCAGGCAGGAAGGAGCAAGGCAGGTCCTGAGAGAAGCCCAGGTGGAGGTGCCCTCCCCCTCCCCACCCCATTTACCACTCTCCCATGGAAGAAGTGCAAATGAAAATGATCTAAGGAATGCAAAGCTTACACGTTTATTAGCAGCCAGGGCAGCAGCCATTCTTTTAATGCTCTTGTGGCCACACTAGCAACAAATTCATATAAAAGCTTAATTTTTATACAAATAGTTTTATTACAAATTTGAATTCTTACGAAATACACATTTAAAGAAATTACATAAAAGGCCTTAGTAGTCTTTTTGTTGTTTTTTTTTTTTCCTTAAGCAACGTTTTGGAGAGTTTTAGTGAAATGTCATTTCAAGCATGGTGGTTGGACTCTGCCCTGTGCCCTCCATCTGCTCCCAGAGACACAGCCCAGAGCCTCGGAGTGGCCTCGTGTATTCGTGTGTGGAAATGCGGGTATTTTGGTTCACCAGAGCTGCTTTTCAAGTCTGGAGGCAACATGAGGAGCCTAATGGAGGCCTGTAAGGTTGTTCTGAGGTCAAGTCATTCAGTTTGTGGTTAGCGTTGAAACCCTGAAAATACTTAATACAGAATAAAAACAGTAAGCACATCTCATCGCCATAGACACCATTGTCAGCAGCCCGGGCCGGCTGTGGACACATCACTTTGGTTTGGAAATGAACGAGGAAGGCTGCCCTGTCCGCTTGGCTTCCTAGTGCTCGAAACAAGGGGGAGGGACATAATCTGAAAAAGGACTCTTGGGAAGCTCTAGGTAACCGTGGAACTCACTAGAACTTGTCCTGCCTGATTGCTGACATCTATATAAATTACTAATATATATATATATATTTAATTTCTGACTACATGTGGACCATCGCTGCTCCACAGGCACCAGGCTGGCTACAGAAGCGGCAGTGGAGAGACGGAAATCTAGGTGTGGGAATGGGAAGGGATGGTAGCTAAGTCTGGGATTCCATTTGGAGGTCTGAGGAAGCCATTTTTACACGGCTCTTCCTTGGATACACTGAGAGCCCCGGGTGGTGAAGCACTAGACAGGGATAGAAACAGACATTCCTACAGGGGTGGAGGACTCATCTGTGGGACACAGGCAGACGGTGGTAGCCAAGCTGTACGAAAGGCACCGCCCACCCCTAGCACCTTTGGTTTCTGATGGAGTTCTCAGCTCACACATCAGTGCACCGCATTGTACAACGTTATGTATATTTTATTTAATCAAAAGTGCCATTTGGTATGCCACTATGGGAAGCTTATCGTTGTTGGGTTTTTTTTCCCTGTTGTTGTTTTTTTTTTTCCTTCAGCAAGTAGAGGCCAATGAAGCGGGGTGTGTTAGTCACGCAAATTCCTAGAAGGCACTTTATGGTTTCATACTGGACAGTGAGGTACACAGGATAGACATCTGGGATTCACTGCTGTTACAGATGGAAAGAGGAGGAGGAGGAGGAAGGGGTAGCACCATGTTGCGACGCAGCGCAGAGCTGGCGGCATTATGTTCTCCTCATGCACACTTGGCAGCGGCTGACGTGGGTTCGCAGCTCCCCGGCCTTCAGGGTGGACGGCGTGGGCTTCCTGAGGGGAGGGGGAGGTGGCAACAGAGTCAACCGCTAGCACCACCACCTCACGGCCCATGTACCGCCCCCCACCCCGTGATGACAACCACGGACTGCCACCTCCCTGCACCTGGGGCCAGTACCCCAGGGTCTGCGGCAGGGCTCCACGCCACACAGGGCACCAGGGACGCCATTCCCACGTCCAGGCTGTGCAACCTGAGGGCCTGAGCCGGTCAGAGCACAGCTGAGGTCTGCTTTGGTAGGCAAATATATTCAAATGTGCTAGAAACCCAGGAAATGGCCTCTTTCCTTCCCCAGTTTTTTAATCCGTGAAAGGATTAAGACTGGTCAGCGCAGGGTTGCCCTGACAATCATCTGGGGCACAGCACGGTGTAAAATACACAACGCCACCCACGGAGGTGGTGCGAAGGCGTCCGTGAGACTCTGCCTGGGAGGGCGTTACGGTCCCAGCGCCCTCTGCAGGAGGGGCATTGCCACTTACTTGAACATCTCACTTCTCTCGATGGTGGCGAGCCAAAAGCTGTAGGCGTTGGCGTAGTAATTGCAGGTCCCACGGCCGTGGCACTCGATGAACGGCGCGCTTCTAAACTCTTCCAGACAGGACCCGGGGGATGCCAAGGCTTGGCCAGAGCCTTCAGCACCGGCACTGGTATGCTGTGGGGACAGACAGACACACACACAGACACACACACAGACACACACACACACACATGCTCTGTGAGTCGAACATTCCCTCTCCAAAGACCAGCCAAGGCCCATTGTCCCAGGAAGGCTCGTGTCTGCGGGGAAGCAATGTGCCCTGGCCACATGGGATGTCCCGGGCACACCCTCTGTGACTATACCCCAACACCTCTGTGGTCCACTGGCTCTGCTGCCACACCGGGACACGAGGCACTGTACACAGACCAGAGAGGAGGCGTTGGCAGCCCCTCTACCAGCAGGGGGCTAGGGGGAGAGGGAGAAGCCACCCGGTGGAAAGCAGTCCAGAGGCCCACATTCACCCAAGGCCCGGCCTGGCCGTCCCCCGGGGCATGGATAGAGAATGTCCCCCCCAAGGATGCTCAGTGGGTGGACAGCTCACACCAGGGTTGGCACAAGCAGTGTAACCCTCACCCTACCAGCGCAGAACTGGTGTTCATTCCAGCATCTCCTGGCAAGGAGGGGATGTCTGCCACCACCCTGTGCCCTCTCTCCCTGACACCCTGTTAATAAAACCCATGTCCTTCATAGCTCTTCCCTTCTCTTTTCTGGGGGCTTTTGGCAGGAGGAGCTAGGTAGACTGCTGGTTCTGAGCTGAGGGCAGCAGGGCTTTGGTCTCCACAGGAGCACGGCCAAGAGAGCACGAGCTGACTGCAGACCCTGCAGTGCTCAGCACAGCCGGCCAGGCAGGGAGGAGCACCCCCAAAACGTGATCAGAGAACCCAGGCCCCCCCAAAGCTTGACTGGGACACAGTGAAGACCAGCACTCACCATCACGAAGGAATAGCCGATCCACAGCGAGGACCACCCGTTGGGGCACGGTGGGATCTGGATGGTCTGACTGTGCACGGCCATCACCATGGCCGGCGCCTCACACACCGCACACCTGCCGGGAGGGGGCAGCGGTTAGCATGGAGGACAGCACAGGACTGGCTGACCACAGGGACACTCATTCATCCACAGTCTTCTGGCTGAACTCTGACCCGGAAGAACATGCACCCATGCCCAACCCAGGCTCAGAGCCTCTCCTGGGCCACACAAGCCCGTCTCAGTATTAAAACAGTCCCAACAGGTGTTATTTCCCATGGCCCCACAGGAGAGGAAGCGCCTTTGCTCTGAGCCTGGCCAGAGGCACCGGGCTGCAGCTGACTTATGGCTTGTGCTGTCTCCTTGCATGCTTCAGGGACTCCCAGGTTTTTATCAGTCCACAGAATTAATGGAATGGGTGGAGTGTGTTCTCTCTCTCTCTCTCCTGGCATCGAGCAGTTGTGCCACACTAGGGACAGTCTTCCCAGCAGGAGTGTGCTTGGTGTCTGTGGTGGACGGTGCCTGTCCTCGTGCTCTCCCTGCTCCATCTTCCCTCCCGAGAGCACCTGCTCAGGATCCAAGGCCAATGCAAGGTCGGAGCAGGCAAGGGTCCGCCCGGCCCGGTGCACAACTGCTCCCCAACTAAAACCTACAGTGTTCTAAGGCTTGCCCTGATACGGGAGCCTGCATGGGCGTGGGTGCTGTGCTTCGAAGATGATAAACACCAGCAGCAAAATAATTACACCCAATTCACCAAGTGAACCATGTTAGCCGTGCTGCTGAATGAGTACAAATGGTGTTAATAATTATGGCCGGGTGTGCGCACCTCCTGCCTGAGAATGGAAGCGGGTGGGAGACACGATTAGTCATCCTGTCTTGTGTGTGTGTGTGTGTGTGTGTGTGTGTGTGTGTGTGTGTGCCCGTGCACGCACGCACAGGTGTACATGTGTGATTTCCTACTTGATTCACACAAATGTAGATGAATTAAAAGGTTCAGTTAAACATTAGTCACTGAGCTGGGGCTTGTCTAGTCGCTGCCATCTGCCTCTCAGATTCGAAAAGCAGAATGGCTGAGGGAAGGGCTGTATTTCCCAGGCTGCCATGAGGCTGAGGAAGTGGAAGGCCAGGCGTGGGTGGGCCTGCCTTTGTAAGGGTGGCCGAGGGCATGGCAACCCCACGGCAGGCACCTCAGACATGACACCCCAGAAAGGAGGAGCAGGCGTTTAGCATGGAGAAGGAGGGGGCAGGGCGGGCCAGGGCCTCTTCAACCCGAGGCGGCCACACTCTCCAGGTTCTGTCTGAAGACGCTAAGGCCACACCTAGTGTCAAAGCCTGGGTTGGGGCCTGGGCTCTCCTCACACTCAGACCCTGGTCTCCACTCTGGGGATTACACAATCATGGATTATGACTGGCCTGCAGAAAGCCAGAGAAAGCACTCGGGAAGCTGTGCTTTCCATCAGGACAGAGTGGAGGCTGTTCCCTTCCCGCGAAGGGTTCCTATTTGTTTCCAGGCCTTCCCGGGGAGAGGGGAAGGTTTGAGTGTCCAGATGCTGTTGGAAACCCTGTTACAGTCAGCTCGGAAAACTGTACTGTGTGACCCAGTGTGACATGGTGAGACACGGTATGACACAGTGCAACACAGTGCACAGGACCTGAGGACCCTGGACGTGACCCAGGGCCCTTCAGGCTGTGCCTGTTGCTATGGGCCTCTGACGGACATGGAAATCCCTGCCGCATAGAGTCCCAGGGGATGGAATCCACTTAGAATCTTGCTTGGCCTCAGAAGCAGGTTGTGCTCAGGGAAACACGTGCCTAAGACACAGTCTGGACCCGACACGGGGCATCATCACCCATGCAAGGTTCCCAACGTTCCCAACTGAGTCAAGGCCAAGGCCAATGCTCTTATCAGAGCCAATGGGAAACATAAATGAACATGTTCTACCTGTCATCCCAGGGAAGCTAGAAGAGAAAACAGCAAGGGGTTAGTTCTCTCCCTGTGCCCAACGCCTGGACAACAGTGAAGCTCTGGAAAGCAGCAAATGATATTCTCCAGCGTGTGACCCACAAAACAAGTTTTTTGATAGCTTTAAACAGAAAAAAATCAAAGAGCCAGTGGCTCAAGCCTGCAATCTCTGCCACCTGGGAGACAGCTCTCTGAGAATGGCAATCTGAGGCTAGCCTAGGCAAAAAGCTCATGACTAGGCACGTGACTAGGCACGGTGGTGAGTGACTGTCATCCCAACTAGGGGGGGGGGGGGGGAGGTGGGAAACACAGATAGGAAGAACAGGACCCAGGTCCAGCCAGGTGTGAAGTAAGACCCTAGCTTAAAAATCACTAATGTGGAAAGAGCTAGCAGAATGGCTCAAACAGTTAAATGCCTGCCTAGCACACGTGACGCCCTGAGTTCAAACTTCAGCGCCACATACGCACACACATAACCAAGAAAGCTGGCAAGAGATGTAACACGAGGACACAGGGCCCCATAACACAGCCCTGTCGGGCACACACCATGCCGCCGTGTTCCCCGGAGATGGAAGTGCCCTGAAGGGGGGGTGGTGGACAGGGGGCGGCTGTGGGGGCCGGGTCTCCGCTGGCCTTCACGTGCATGTGGTGGCACTTGCCTCTCTCCAGGGAAGGCGGAGAGCCAGACTCCTCCTCAGGCCGGTTGCTAAGGGAGCCTTCCCTGGCTTCTCCTCTTTCTTACCCTTTCTTCTGTGGTGTCAAAGTAGAGTGGGGAGATAGCCCCTGTCAAATGCATTTGTTCACTGGCCGCTTGTTACAGCTAGACGCCCAACGCTTAATTAGAAAGAGACAGAGGCAGGGCACGCGTGTGTGTCTCCAGAGACGTGCACCTGGCACCAGTGCTGCGAGGGGCTAACCCTGGGAATTGCTCAGTGGGGACCAGGCATTCTTGCTGAGAGAATGTCAGCCCACGGGGGTGAAAACTGGTGGGACTAGGAGAACGTGTGACAGACCTTACTTCTGCCTATTTGTGGAATGTGGTTAAGTTTTTTATGTATAAAATCAACATACATAACTCTGTGCATGAAGCATGGATTCACACAAAATAATAACCAGGTAAGACCGAATCATGCCTATGGCATTTCAATTACATGGCCACCACCTCACAACCGCTGGGACAGCTTCTATCTAAAGCAAAAGCAAACAGACACCAGCCAGGGTGGACGAGGACGTGAAGAATCCGGACTCCAGGCACCGCTGGTGCTGTGTCGGGATGTGGCCATGATGGAGAACAGCGGGAAGTTTCTCAAAAAATTGAAAATCATATTCCCATGGGCTTTGGCAAATCCGCTTCTGGATATATACCTAAAATTTCTAAAAGCAAGACCCTGGAGTGGACACCGTGTTTGAGGCAGACAAGACACAGAAGCAAGCCAGATCTGCACTGGCAGATGCGTGAACGAAGACTATATCCACACAGCAGGATATTACTTGGTCTTTAAAAAGGAAGGAAAGCCAGGTATAGCGGCGGCGTGTGCCTGTAATCCTAGCTACTCGAGAGGCTGAGATCTGAGGATTGCAGTTTGAAACCAAGATTGGCAGAAAAGTTGGACACGCTGATCTCCAATGGACCACCAAAAAACCAGAAGTGGAGCTGTGGCTAAAATGGTAGAGCACTAGCCTTGAGGAAAAGAGCTCTAGGAATAACACCCAGGCCCTGAGTTCAAGTCTCAGAATTGGCACAAAAATATAAAAAAGGAGATTCTGATACACATGATTGACCCACAAAGGATGTGATGCGGGGTGAAATAAAGCCACTCAGCAAAGGACAAAGGGCAAATGTCATAGCATTCCAGTTTTGTGAGGCCTCGGGGGTCAAATTCAGAGACAGAAAGCAGAATAGTGGGCGCTGGATGAGGGGAGGATGCTCAGGTTTAGTGGGCGCTGACAGCAAGGGTGCTCAGTGATTAGTGAGCACAGTCTGGGTTTGGTAAGACAAACTAAAGGATGGTATGGCACAATGTGCTGCTGACCGGGGCGCTCAGGCGTGGTAAGATGGTACATGTCGTAAGAAAGCATGGGATTACACCGTCATTGAAAATAATTCACTTTTCAAAAGGTCATGGGAGCAGGCATGGCCTTGCAGGAGGCCATTGCTTTTCCTTGGAGGGAGCGTGCTTAACGGCGGGGAATAAGCCAGGCTCTGACGGCTGGGAGCTGGTAGGATTCCGTCCTCCCCCCCTCCCCCCCATTGTGCTCACCAGGCCCGCCTTACCTGCTGATGAACGGCCGGATGCCGTCCCCAGTGATGGGCGCCATGGACATGGGCATGGGCTCGGGGGTGGACAGCCAGTAGGAGTAGTCGTTCCGCGAGGCAAAGTTGCACACGTTATTGATGTTACAGAACAGGAAGGGCATGGTGCTGAACTTGCGCAGGCAGCTGCCAGCCGTGCCTGTGTGGGACAGATGCCATGAGTGCCCTCAACCACTGGGACAGACACCATGCACACCATCAACCACTGGAGACAGACACTCAACCACTGGGACAGACACCATGCACACCGTCAACCACTGGAGACAGACACTTCAACCACTGGGACAGATGCCGTGAGCACCCTCAACCACTGGGGACAGACATCATGCACACCGTCAACCACTGGGGACAGACTGACCCACCCGTCATCCAGGTACACCTTACTCATGCCATTAAACTGGAGATTGGAACGATTCCTTCTTATTAGAAAGAATTGGCCGTGTAGATGATATGAATGTAGATGAGCAGGGCGTAAATGCAAAGCGAGTGTAAAGAATGATGTAAGACAAATTTGGTAAAGGGAAATGAACCCAGATCACCAGAAGGGAGAAACCTTTCCTACTGGACCTCTGGAAAGACTTCACATCCAGATGACCGGTACGGTACACAGTGACCCCCACCCTCACTGAAGATGCAGAGGTGCCCTCATACGGCATCTTAGATTTCACCCTTGGCCCGGGACACCCTAACTGCTGTGCATGCACAGAGAGGGGCGGCGGTGGGCTGTGGCGTGGGTAGAAGGGACAGTGGGAACAGAGTCAGAGGGACAGAGAGGGGCTGCGGGAATTTGGGGCAGAACAGATGTGTTTCCAGAAGACCCACAGAGATGCTGCCTTATCTCAAGAGCAGTAGTGCCAGCTGTTGAGCATGCACCCCAGGGATCCCGACCCTACCCTGAAACACAAGATCCAACGTTTTACTAAGTACACATGCTCAAGGAATCTGCCCTGGTTCCCAGCTTCCCACGAGTGCAGTGGAAGTATCATGGTGGCAGAGGTGAGGTTGGCAAGTTCGGTGGTCAGGATCACCGCCGAGGAGAAGATCAGACGCAGATTCTTACCCAGGTCCTGCCCGTGGGCCCGCTCATTGCCTTGCACGTAGAGCAGCGAGTACCCATGGTAAAGAATCTTGGTTCCAGGAGGACAGGATGGGTCTTCTGTTGTCTGACTGTGTCTGGTCACGAGGAAGCCGTGGTCCACAGATGGCGTGCCCGGAGGCCCCATGGAGCCGGGCAGCCCATCGGGCCCCGGGGGCCCGGGAAACCCTCTGGGACCTGAGGACAGAAGGCAAATGGATGCTCCCGGTCAACACCTTCAAATGCATTTTTTCAAAGAGCTGGTAGTAGTTTATACCTCCAGGGTGTATCTGGCCCTTCTACACCACAAAGGAAGTACTTATAAAAGTGCATAGCATCCTCCTTCAGACCCCTTCCTTCCTCTCTCTCTCTCTCTCTCTCTTTCTCTCTCTCTCTCTCTATCTCCCCCGCCTCTCACACTGTCCTTGGGCTTAAATTCAGTGTTACCACTTGAGCCATAGCCCCAGCCCCTTTGCTTGAGCTGTTTTAAGTTACGGTCTCATGCTTCTACCTTGGGCTGGTCTCTGACTGTGATCCATCTTCCTTTTTACCTTCTACATGGCTGAGATCACAAATGGAAGCCACCACAACAGCTATGGGGTTAAGATGGAGTCTTGGTAACTTTTTTCCCAGGCTGGCCTCAAACTGAGATACTCCCAATCTCTACCTTCCCAGTAGCTGGGATTACAGGCACGTTATACCATGCTCAGCTAGCTCCTCCTTTGTATACTTCTCGGGATGGCTTTACAGACACAGGGACGGCACTAAGCATGTGCTCAAACATTTGGGTCCATGAGGAAAGGGACGAGAGGAACATAAACATGAATAAATGAAAATAACCCAGTGGTGTGGTTCTGTGCGTGCCGTTCACAGGGAATTCAATGGCTCCTTGAAGTGCAGACATGATGGAATTATGAAAATAGCCTTGCTTCAGGCTGACAGCCTGTGTATGTGGGAGGGGGGTAGAGTGGGGGACACTGGTCCCTCCATCTCCAGGGGCAAAGCTGTGTCACACGGAAGCTGGCAGGGATCTACAGAGAGGGGTGCTCCCGGGATGCCCTCATCCTCGGCAGCGTCATTGGGGGAGCTCCCCAGGGTAAAAAGAGACACCGTGTCCGTCCCAGGAGACACAGTGGCCCCTCGGCCAACACTGACATGATCATTTGGGGGTTGGCTTCCTTCCACTGGCCGTGACTGACACAGAACGTTGTCTGTAGCTGCAGCCCTCGTCTCTCTTAGAACACCATGCGGGCCACCACTCCTGGCCCCGCCTCCGGAAAAATGTGCTCCTTGACCAACATGCAACTACACAGAAGACAGTGGCTGGTGCAGCCATGCGCCTCCTTCTCCTAAGACAGAGACTTTCCTTGGAAACTCTCAGGAGTATTTGTTAGTTCGTGTTGCAGTTTTCTCGGTGCCCTAGACCGCTGTTCCTAACCTGAGCTGTTCCTAACAGCTCAAGGGTAATTCGCCAGGAGGCAGGTGCCACCTACCTGGGGGCCCGAAAGGTCCGGTCTCTCCTTTCTGGCCAGGGGCACCGTCGAAGCCAGGGGCGCCCGGGGGCCCGGGAACACCCGCTGAGCCGGTCACACCTGTGGTAGAGGAGAAAGACTTGGTGATCAGGCCCTGAGTTATCTGTTCCTCTTTCTTCCCTTCTTGAATGTCCTTTTGGTGTGTAGGGGACAAGCCCGAGGCCTTCCTCACAGGTGACCGGGCTTACCCAGATGCGTGCACTCTGCATGAACCCCCTCCCCACACGCCTCTGAGTGGGGTGCTCTGGGAGCTCCCCCAACTTGCTCAGGGCTCCTGCTGGGCTGCTTGATGGATGGGTGTGGAGAAGGCCGGGCGAGGGGGACTGAGACCTGACAGCCTGCCGTGCTTGGGTGTGGCGGTGTCTATGTGGCAGGATGTCACGCCTGCGTGTGTGAGTGGCTGGCACTGAGCGTCTCACGATGCCGCTCGGTGCCTCCTTCACCCCCTCTCCCCACCATGAGCAACCCCTGAAACAGGAATGGCCTGGCTCCACACAGACCATCTGGGGAGGGTGTGTGGGGACACGGGAGGGGAGTGCGGAGCCCACCGAGGGACCCCAGCTGCTCAGGGAGCAGGGAGGCAGAGCCCGCAGGGCACTTCCCATGCCCTTCCTGCTGCTTGGGGTGGGGCTCTGCTGCACGTGGCTTGCGCCATTTGCACCGAAGGTGGACATGTTGGGTTGCGGGTTCTAGTGTTCCTGGTTGGACTTCTTTTTAGGGGGCAGGGAGGAGTGGGGGGGGGTCCTCTCAGAAACTTTGCTTACTTCTGATGTACACGAAGGAAAGTCGCACTCAAATGTGTATCTATGCTCCAATCCTAAGCAAGTAGACCAGGGGAAGTCCCACCCCCCTCAGGGGAAGTCCCACCCCCTACCCATGCCCCTGCACACCCCAAGGTTCCTCACCTTGCTGCCCTTTGGGGCCTGGGGGTCCTTGGAGCCCTTTCAGGCCTGGGGGACCCTCAGGACCAGGGAGCCCTGGCTCTCCCTTGAGGACATCATACGGACCAGGGGGGCCCGGGGGACCGGGAAGACCTGTGGGGGTGAAAAGGGGGTGATCAGGTTCCCATCAACAAGCCGAGGTAAGTCCACATGTCCGCGCCTTTCCAAAGCAAGGCCAGTGTGACGGCAGCAGGAGGAGTTCCTCACAGCACACACGTGCCGTTGGACTGTGGGACTGGGGCTCGAACTCAGAGCCTTGTACTTGCTGGCCTCCCCTCTGCCACATTCCTACCCGTTCATCTGTTCTTTTTTTTTTTTTTTTTGTCGGTCATGGTGCTTGAACTCTGGGCCTGGGCGCTGTCCCTCAGCTCTTCAGCTCAAGGCGAGCGCTCTACCACTTGAGCTACAGCGCCACTTCCAGTTTTCTGGTGGTTTATTGGAGATAGGAGTCTCACGGTCTCTCCTGCCCGGGCTGGCTTTGAACCGCGATCCTCAGATCTCAGCCTCCTGAGTAGCTAGGATTACAGGTGTGAGCCACCAGCGCCCGGCTCATCTGTTCTTCTTATGTCTTTTTTACTTAACGCCCTACGTGCTTGAACCTGGAGACACTGGATCACCAGTGTGGACCATCCACTCCACGGTGGGACCATGAGCCGCCACCAGCTCTTCCCGAACACTGCCCCAACACAGCGTGCCCCACCACCGGAGGCAGCCCACTCTGGCTTGGAGATCCAGTCTGGGCTATCGCCTTAGCTGAGCTCTGCCTCATGGCGGCCACTGTCCCAACTTTCCAGTGGTGAGTGAACTCGGTTCTACCATGAGTATCGTATATTGATTCAGTCTGAAGGACACCTCAGCCTCCTCTCCTCCTAACACTCCTACTCCCTTCCTCCTCCCAGCCACGTTCTCCACCTCTTTCCCCAACATTCACCTCTTAGTGCCTTTGGCTCTTCATCCTGTAGCCTAGAACATAGCTTTGAAGACTAAAGTGGGCCCTAGAAATATGGTCTGTTGGGCAGGAGGTAATGGGCGAAGGACAACTATTCTCTTCCAGGATTATTTTGGTTTTTGGGACCCCCAATCCCTGCCAACCCCTGTGGTAAATCTACTGATGTCTGGCCAGAACTTGTGCAAATGGGACGGCCCGCAACAGGCTGGGTCTGGAGCTGGTGTTATGCCAGCCACCCTCCTCCTTCCCCTCAACTCTCCAAGTTACAAATCAGACTTTGAAGAGACGCTGCTGGCTAGAAATGTCAAGGATAGGTTCCTAATGTGCTGGGTGCTACTAGATTTCCAGTCATTTCCCATGATTCTGTGTGTTCCCAGAGCAGTGGGGAAGACCTGGGGGTTAACAAGTTCTCCTACCTTTGGAGCCAGGTATGCCTTGATCTCCCTGGTCTCCCTTCAGTCCTTGGAGGCCGGGAAGACCTTTCTGACCTAGGCAAAAGGAGACATTGCCTTTGTACAGCATCTGATAACATGCAAACATTTGTACATGTGTTTACATGCACGTTCACATCTATGCCACGCACATGCACGGGCACGTGCACACAGGCACAGGTACACACTCACCCAGGAGCATGTCTGCATGGACCTGCATACATTTATACAGACACAATGTATGCATCCATACATTGTGTCCATATGTATGCATACACATATAGTCATGTACACATATATTCGTGTGTACATACATGTACTTCTGTACATTGAACTCAGATTTGCTGAACCCAGAAGGCAGACTGCTCCAATCAAGCAGCGAATGACAAGATGGTCACATGGAGAGAGGCAGGTGTCATAGTTCATGGTCACCATCTATCCCACAAAGACACCAGACTGCGCGCTTCTCATATGCATCTGATTTAGCCCTAAAAATTTTAGCACTTGGAAGTCAGTAGGAACCAATAAGTGCTCATTTAACATATTAGGAAATTAATGAATAGCCAAGTCCATGACTTCTTGTTGAGATACAAATGACTGGTATGGGGATCCTGATTCTTACCAACAAAACCAGAATGCTCCACACAGCCACTCACGGGATGATGCAAGTGGGCTGCCACATGGGAAGGACATTGTTAATTTGCAGACCCCAGGGTCTCAGAACTGGGGGCCTGTGGTCCAGAGGCCCTTCCAGCCGCTGCCCTGTGGGATACGGCCATAGGACCGTCATTTCCAGTCTTACCTTGGAATCCTGGAACTCCTGGTGGACCCATATCTCCCTTCGAGCCTGTGATTCCTGGAGAGCCACCGATGCCCTACATGGGACATGCAGAGAGAGCATAAGCCAGGGAGGGTTTGGGACACAGATGAAAGTCTCTCAGGTAATCTGGGAGGAAGAATGCTGAGAAATCCCCCCACGCCCAGCAAAGCTGATCTGTGAGTCAACCGTACCTGAGGTTCACTAAACGAGCTCACAGGAACATTGAACTTCCTGTGTGCCTACCTCAGAAGCCAGGAAAGTTCAGCCCTGCTTTCTCCTGCCTGCCCATCACATGCTAAACTCCACAAGAGCAGGCAGATGCTCACGGCACCATGAACAGAACCAGAGCACCACAGACGCTTCTCACAGAAACACACCCAGCCAAAGCACCAGACGCCCATTTAGGAAAATTTCCCCAAAATGCTCAAGCACAGTGACTTGAAATTAGCTTCATGTCTTATCTAAAATCTGGTTTTAATTATAGAAAAAAGATTTTAAACCACTCAGACTATTTTCTTTTATAATATAGCAAAATACATGTTTTAAGGAACATCTACTCATCTATTTTCTATTTCAGTATAGTTGACCTTTGTTCTAGGCATATACAGTGTTTTATTATTTCTGGCATAGACGTCTTTGCCTTACTTTGTTTTTTTAAAAGTACCACGACTTTAAACAACATGCACGAATATGTGTTTAAAAACACACAGAGATGAATAGAGACATAGACACTGATTGCACTGGAAGTGGGGAGTATATTTCTGGGTTTACTAAGGAAGAAAATCAGGAATGCATGAATAATCAACAAATTACATCACTGGGATATTGTAATATAGCAACAGAGCCTAAAACAGATTATGGTACATACCCAGTGTGTAGGGAGGACAGGGAGTGGGCTAGTAATGACCGCTACCCGCCATGGCCTGTTTGATCACCTTTCATAGTACCAGGCAAACTCAGTCTTTCTGTATCTGACCAAGGACACACCCCACGTACTCTCTCCCCACCTCTACTCCTGAGGAACTGTGGGAGGGGAGGGGGAAGACAATGGATACTCGGAATGGAGCCCATGTCATTCCTGCACTGGGGGAAGAGGTTGCCTTCCCGGGCCCAAATGCCCTGGACTCAGACTCTTTCCAATGTGTTTTTGGGCAGTGAGGAGACAGAGAAGTGGAGACAGACTGACCCACTGACAGAGAATGACTCTCTGGGAACACATCATGGTGGCATAGCTGAGAATCACACCAGAGATCATCAGCGTACCTTAGAGGCACTACAGGAGGCCAACACACACACACACACACACACACACACACACACACACACACACACACACGACAATCCTGTGACCACAAGGGCCTCCTTAACAAAGGAATTTCTATAGCCCATCACTCACCGGCATGCCCTGGAAGCCTGGGTCTCCCTTGGGCCCGGGGGCACCGGGTGTTCCTGGCCAGCCTGGGTTCCCCTTGTCACCTTTTAGCCCATCGAGCCCGGGCAGCCCTGGAGGCCCCATGGGTCCCGGAAGCCCTAATGGGAAGAGTTAAGGCAGATGGTTGATTAAGGCAGGTAGGTACTGTTCAGTATATGTGCCATTCCGCCATCACTCTGTCCTTATTGCCACCCAGTGGACCCGGCTGTAACTCCACCATGAGCCCCAGGGAGGGAGGCAAGGAGGCAAGGAAGGAAGGAAGGAAGGAAGGGAGGGAGGGAGGGAGGGAGGGAGGGAGGGAGGGAGGGAGGGAGGGAGGGAGGGAGAAAGGAAGGAAGGAAGGAAGGAAGGAAGGAAGGAAGGAAGGAAGGAAGGGAGAAAGGGAGAAAGGGAGAAAGGGAGAGGGGAAGGGAGGGAGGGAAGGAGGCAAGGAAGGAAGGAGAAAGGGAGAGTGGGAGGGGAAGGGAGGGAGGGAAGGAAGGAAGAAGGGGGAAGAGGGCAGAGGGAGGGAGGGGGGAAAGAAAGGAGTCACATGCATCACCAGAGTCTCAACACCCAGAATGCCCTAGGTGGGGAGTGTCTAGAGCCCCAGTGCCATCACAGCAAAAGGGGTCAAAGCAGAAGGGGCTAGGACATCGTGCTGATTAAAACACCACCAGATGGCCTAGCTACCAAATCTTTCTCATTAATTTAGCTCTTTGCATCTTCTTATTTAAATTCCTTGACAGAAAGGACACTAGAAAGACCTTGACCAAAAACACAGTTTCGAGCTGTGATCAACTCCACAAACTTCTAGATGAAACCCTCCAATGAGAGTCATTATTATTGAACTATTCCCTTGATAGCACTCTCTTTTTCATGCACCCTAACCCATGCCAAGCTCTGACGCTTGGCTGAAATGCCCTTACCTGGCAGGCCCGGCTGTCCCTGAGGTCCGCGGTCTCCTTTGGGCCCCTCCACGGGGCGGCCAGGGGTCCCAGGCAAGCCTGGCTGTCCTTGGGGCCCGGGAGGACCCATGAATCCTTGCTCGCCTTTGGATCCAGGAATTCCTGGACTCCCAGCTAATCCGGGGAAGCCCACTTCACCCTTGGAACCTAAACAATGAAAACAGTTTGAGCTGCAGTGACAAAGAGCTGCAGTCTCTGAGGGGCAGGGTCGATGGTAATACGCTTCCCAATCCCCGGTACCCCACAAACACCAGGAGCAAAATCAATACACTAGGTGCCTTCCAGAGCCTGGCTGAGAAGGAAAACCCAGTGTGTGCAACTGCAAAGGCAGCATCTGATGGCCAAGGCACTGACATAGACGTATGGAAGTCTGCCGGCCATCACACTGATGAAATGAGGGGCACGGCCCATCACCGAGTGAAGGAATAGAACAGCTGCTCTACCATGCAGAGGAACACAATGCAATGATCAGAAGCCATGGGTTCTAACCAACGAGATACCCTGCAAACTGGTCATGCCACAGGAAGAAGTCAGACCGAAAGAATACAAACTGTTGGACTGCATGCAGATAAACCCGCAGGAGATGCAAACTAACCCACAGCTCAAGAAATCAGCAGGGCAGCTGCCTGGGGAATGGGATGCAGAGGGAGAATCAGGACAGAAGTGGAGTAAAAGATATGACACTTTCCTCATTGCAAAGTCTCCATGGGTATACACGTGCCAAAATGTATCCCAGGGCACACTTTACATGTGCATTTTATTGTGAAAGAAAAAATAAACTAGTGCTTACAGGAAAAGAACTCTCCATATTTACTTTTAAACATCAGTAAAAATATGGAAGGTATTTGTCATATACCACATAGCCTTTTGTTCTATAGACTAGTGTAACAGCAGGAGTCTTGTAGGGTCCTTGCTACCTCTGGACTCAGTACCTTTGGTCCACGTGTAGCCCCTGCCTTTGTAACAGGCACAGTCCATTCCCTGCCCTCCTGTCACAGAACGCAGCAGCCTGGGCGGCGGCAGCAGAATGAAAAAAGAACAAATTTGGGAAAGGGTACCTTTGTCTCCTTTGGCTCCTGGGAAACCTGGGAATCCTCTTCCGGGTAGACCTATGAAACATAAGGAAATTAGTTCAGAGTGACTAGGGAGCAAAATTCTATTACTGTACTTCTTATACGACACATTGTCCTGAGACTGGGTATTTATAAGTGAGAATTTTTCCTGAGTGCCTTTTAGCTCAGATCCATGAAGGCCTTCAGTAGAAATAATCTGCACTAATGAGGGATCCAAGGGACCCGACTGTCCCGAGAGCACAAGAGCAGGAGTTAAACACCTTCCAATTATTAAATACTACCAAGTTCTGTTACAGACAACTACTAGCACTGTTAGTGCGAGGTTGAGCTTCCATGAAGTCTTTGTCATAAATACCCTCTAAGTGTTTTCTGGGAGTAACTGTTGTCCAGAAGGCCCTTCCCCTCTGCCCGTCAGCTCTGAGTGGGGGACTACCAGACAACCATCCCTGGAATGGCTGCTGCCCAGTTGTTTGCATGGGAGCCAGATCACTGAGGATGCTCCAGAAGCTGCAAAAATGACCACTATCACCTTGGCCATACATCATGGGCCTAAGTCTCTAGTCCAGACAGCCAGAGCCAGCCTGGGACAGTAGCACACCGAACAAGACCAGCCCAATGGATGAGTTCCGGAAGACCCAGCAGCCCTTCTACCCTGACCCACACAGGGAAGCACTTCCCCCATCTGGCCCAGCGGGAAGTCTGAAATGGTCCCTTATTTGCATGAAGGACCCTGCTGATTGAGTGAAGACCTGCCGTAACTGGTGCAAGCACCTTGGCCACTTCTCCTTCCTGGATATCTCAGTAAGTAGGTTGCTCATCCCATATTTTTTGAGCCAGCTGGGAGACACAGCCCAGTGCTGCCCCCTGGTGTTACAAGACTCAACCCAATACAAGGCTTCTCGTGAGCAGTCCTTTCCTGCCCGCTTTTGATTTTTATCATTAGTTGACCAGGCTGAGCTGGTGACATAAAAAGGAGATAGCAGCAGTGGCAGCAGTAGAGACAAGAGGACAGCTGGAAAGTTTCAGAGTGGCCAGGACAGAGAGGAGAGGGAGCAGAGTCAGCAGAGACAACAAAGGCTAGGAAACTAAGGCTGAAGACTAGAAACCATGTACCCTGGTCATGGGAAAACTTCTAAGGCCAGGCCTTCTGGGTCCTGGATACCCTCTGCCTGAGAACTGTAACTCCAGCACTTGTGAGCTGAGGGTACCTATGCCCAAAGCCTGTAACACTAGGAACTGTAACACTAGCAGTCTCTGCCTGCTGCTGTCTGCTTTGGCTGCTGTCTTACCACTAGAAGCTAAGGATCATAACACCTGCCAAGTGCTTGGGCTGCTATTGGAGCCATAAACCTCCAAACTAACTACCCAGAGCTGTTAAGTCTGTGGCTTCAAAACCCTGGAGCACTAAGCCCCTACTCTTAGGGCTTAGAGCAGGTTTCTAGGTCCACCTGTCCGCCACTAGATCTGGAACACTCAAAGTATGGGACTGTGAGCACTGGTAGAGATTCTCCTCACCTACCTACAACTTCTACCCAGGGAGATCTAGGAGCCCTAACCATCCACCCAAGGACAGTGAGGGACTCAAACCATCTACTCCTAACCATGGAGTTGTAACACTACTACTGTTGAAATGAACAGTAGTGTCTCTCAATGGAGAGAGAGAGAGAGAGAGAGAGAGCGAGCTGAGAGCCAGAGAGATTGGGGGCAGCAGATATTGGAAAGCCAGGGAATGTGAGCTGTGAGCTGGAGGGGAAATCCAAATGGGAGAGGGGGGACTTTATGAATTATTTTAATAGAAAAATCAATGTGTACACATAAATAAAAGGCATATAGCATGAAAAAAATGATCTAAGAAACACCATCACCAGCAAGATGGCCACCTCTCACTATCCTGGACCCATCTCGTCTGCCTCTGGGTAACCTGCTTCCAACATTCACCAGTCTCTGGGCTGAGTACTGTGTATGTGTGTTTGTCCTTGGGCTCTTTGATCAAGTTGCAGCTCTATACTACAGCAAAGGAGCAGATTCTCCAACAAAGAAAATGCTGGCAGAGATAAGAGTCTTGTGTTTTGTCCTAGCAAGTGAAAGGGGGACTGGCAGAGGAGACATTCCACATGCAGCAAGAGCTGTCTGTGTCTCCTGGACTCCCCAGGGGATATTTCCAGAGCAGGTGTCCATGTGTGCAGTACCTGACTGTCCCCTTCCCTTCCCAGCCCAGCCCCTGTCCACCAGCATGCCTCTGTCTGCTCGGCTCTGTTCTCTCTGCATGGTTGTGAGGCTTGGTGAGTGACCATGCCCTGTCGGCAGGACGTACCTGGCTCACCCTTCTCCCCTGCAGAGCCTGGGATTCCATCACTGCCAGGCTCTCCTTTCTGGCCAGCTGGACCTGTGGGACCAGGAGTCCCAGGGAGACCTGAGAGAGAAATCCCACACCGTTATTCATGAACCTCCAGGTGAAATGGCTCCTTTTAAGTTGTGATCTCCCGCCCCCACCCCCCCTCACCCCCCCCAACTCTTGCATAGGTCTGGTGTCCCTGAGTCATTCAGACCCCTTCCAGAAGGAACCCTCCTCCCTCCCTGCTGCTAGAAGCACCATGAGCCCCAAACCTCACAGGCTGGTGAGAACAGAGAGGATGACTCAAACTCCAAGCTCACTATAGGAAACAGCCTGGAGACTCTGGTGCCAGTCCCTAACTAGTGACGAGAATCCTGAAAGATCCCGCAAACCCCCTCTCACCCCCCAAAGCTCAGATCGCTGGTCTGAAAAGCGGAGGACAAGGCCACGGCTGCCCAGGCCGGCAGCAGCACCCTTGGGCTCCCTGGAGGCTGAGGCCCCATCCCCCCTTCCCTCTCTGCACTCCAGGGCAGTCTACCTGCTTCTCCTTTGACACCAGGGATGCCATCTAATCCTGGTAGGCCTTTGTCTCCTTTCTCACCAGGCAATCCAGGACTTCCTAAAGAAAAACACAAAGCCAGAAGACCTGTAAGTCTGAGTTTTCCTTGTCCTGAGTCACTGCTCAGGAGGAAGCCTCAGTTTACCTACCTGGATAGCCGATGCTCCCTGGCAACCCCTTGGGGCCGGGAGACCCCGGCATTCCTGGGATTCCTGTGCTGCCCTTCTGGCCCTTCTCTCCAGGGCTCCCCGGGAAGCCCGCCAGCCCTGGGTCTCCCTGTGGGAAGAATTGGCTGTGTTTAACTGCATCTGCTCCTGGATGCGCGTCTGCAGGCACTCTCTGGTCACCGGGATACATTTTGGTGCAGTAAATACTGCATGCCAGAATGCTATTGCCAGATTTCCCACTGTGTCAAAAGCCTGTTTCTGAGCAGAGGCAGAACTGAGAGACAAAAGAGCCATGGTCTCCCTTCTTGCCAAGTTCTTGCCCACCCCCTCCCTCTCTCTCCTTCAGTGGTGGCTGCCCGCCCTCACCTCACAGGGAGCCTGGAAATACTTCCTCAAGGGTAGGGGGAGGCCTCTTATAACAAATGAGGGGGAACTATGATTCCGTGCTGTTGTTCATTGAACATACTGCTTCATAAATGGCCCCAGAGGCATTTCAAAGGAGAACTTCATGAGATCATGAGGGTGGCTTGTTACCTTATCGCCAGGCCGCCCCGGAAGGCCGATGCCAGGCAGACCGGCCTGCCCTTTCTCGCCTTTGGCTCCTTTCTCTCCAGGTATGCCAGGAATGCCCTGTGGGCCTGGGATGCCAGGCACACCCTTCTCTCCAGGTGTTCCTATCAACACAAACCATCAGAAGGTGAACGGGGGCTCCCACAGCCTGCCAAACACGGAGCAACAAAACGTGAACCTCTTCCCTTACAAACATCAGCAAATGACCTCACTGGCTGCCCTGCAAATCCTGCCAGACACCTTAGCCGACATTCCCCTGGCTTTGCAACAAAACGTGAACCTCTTCCCTTACAAACATCAGCAAATGACCTCACTGGCTGCCCTGCAAATCCTGCCAGACACCCTAGCCGACATTCCCCTGGCTTTAAAGAGTTGTATGTTTTTATGACATCACCAAATCTCATTAAAGAAGAATTCAGGGGAGGGGGGCATGAAGGAGTAGAAAGACCATGCCCAAGCAAGGCTTTATCGTGCCAATGCCAGACCTATGGACGGGCAACCATAACCAGCAGCCGAGACCTTTCTACCTTAAATGCAGCGGTCAGAGTATCTTGCAGATACACTGGAGGAGACAGGAAGGCAGGCCTCCTGGCTTGGCTGTCCCCTCTTAGTGCCATCTGAGAAATACTGTCACCCAGACCTGCCCAGGCTGGTGTCAGAGCTCTCCCTTCTCCCTCATCCCTCCTCTTTCTGGCTCTCCCCCCAGCACAGGCAGCCAGGAGGGAAGGCTGGAGCACGGAGGAGGATTCCTCTGAACTAAACGAAGGACTCCATGGGGTGAGCTGCTTGCACAGCCAGACCTGAGTAGGGAGCCAGACACCCCCGAGAGAGACACCACTCAGGGGCGGGTTGCTGGGAGATACTCCATTGTTGATCATGTTTTACTCTGTGACTCCATGAGAGCCTTGTTTTCTAAAGCCATGGTCATGGTCACCCAAACGCCATCCATCCCCAGACAGGAGTCATCCAGCATGGAGGATGTGCATCCACGTTAGAGATGCGTCCTCTGAGGGGAAGAGGAGGCTCTGCAGGCCTGTCACCACCTCCATACCCACGGGCACGTGTGCATGACGGCTCCAGCTCTGACTCCAGCTTACCAGGCAAGCCCATTCCACCGACTGATCCTTTGGGACCAGGAAGTCCTGGGGCCCCTGGGGTGCCGCTTATTCCTGGGTCACCTTTAGGTCCTGGAATGATAAGGCAGACATCTGGTGGGTTAAGTGTCTATGACAAGGACAGGGTGGTATGCTTCGGAGCCTGGGGACTGGCCACAGGAGGCACTTGATGTCCACCTACCTGGCTGCCCAGGATGCCCGGCCTGCCCATCTTTCCCAGGTACCCCTGGGGTCCCCGGATCTCCTCGGGAGCCTTTATCGCCAGTGGGTCCAATTTGTCCTAGGTATCACAGAAAATAAATGTCAATGCAGATCCATGTGGGCTTGGCAGGCTCCGTACTTCAGACACACAGGGCAGGAATTACAGAGAAGCAAATGACCCAGGCTGGCACATCAGTGAAGGCGTTTCCCCCACATACCTTTCTCTCCTTGGTCTCCCTTCTCTCCCTTCATGCTGCCCATGTCCACTTTATCCATGGACCCCGGTTTTCCAGGAAGCCCGATATCCCCCTTATCGCCTTTGAAGCCAGGGTCTCCCCTGGGTCCCGAGGAGCCGGGGAAGCCGTGGTCTCCTGAGAAGGAAAAAGAATTGCCTGATGAGACCCAGCCCACCTCCTGCATGTGCTCACACTCTTCCTGGATCGAAAAGGGGGAAAATGAGAAAGTATCCAAGGCTGACATGAGGAAGTGAGTACCTCATCCCAGGTACTGGGCAGCCACACCATTTTTAAAACATAGTCCTCTATGATTCAATTCATAAATAAAATATTCAACACTTAATTAGCAGTTCAGTTAGTAAGTCAATATTCACTAGTGATTTTATGTTTGTTTGTGTGTGGGGTCAGTACTGGGGTTTGAACTCAGAGCCTGAGTGCTCTTTCTTCGCTTTTTCACTCAAGGCTAGCAGTCTACCATTTGAGCCACACCTCCACTTCCAGCTTTTTGCTGGTTAATTGGAGATAAGTCTTCATGGACTTTGCTGCCCAAGCTGGTTGGAACAGCTATCCTCAGATCCTGAGTAGCTAGGACTACAGGCGCAAGGCACCGGCAGCTGAATTTTATTACTAGTTTAGATCATTTATACTTCTTTCTTCTCACTCTGCTTTGAGTGCCACACAAAAATCACAAAGCAGCAATTTTCCTGACACACTAAACAAATTTCCTTTCTTAGGTCTTACTCTTAAAGCCAGTTTACAGAAACTACTTTGGACTCATTTAAATCAGAGAAAACAAAAGTCAGGATTGGACCTGTGGTCCAATCAGCGATACTGTGAATTTGTGGACTCAGATCTTGTGTCCACCCGTGACAGACTGTCCACTATCTCTCACGGCCCACCCACTGGCTGCTAAGCAATCAGCACACAGCTTTCATCCCCATGCTCTTTGTCCCCCCAGAGCAAAGCCTCCCCATTGGCCCCTTGCTAAGCCTCTCTCCTCTGCTCTGGAAATGAAACAATCTATAGTAATGAGAGAAATGTCCCAGACACCAGAGAAAGTGACACAAGATGGCTTGGTGCTTGTCAGCTCACCTACCTTTTTCACCAGGTAATCCGGGGACACCTGCAGGTCCCGGTGAGCCTGGCTGCCCGGGAGTCCCCATGACGCCCATTTCTCCCTTGGAACCTGTGACCAAAAGGAAGGGCTGTGAGCATTCCTCACAGTGGGCCAAAGAGAGGGCAAACGCTATGAGCCATGAGAGCATGGTAAGGCCCAGCTCCTCACCACCAGCCGGGGGGGTCAGATCACACAACTCTTACCTGGGAAGCCTGGAACGCCGGGTGTCCCTTGCTGTCCGGGGGGGCCAGGGAGCCCTGTCTGTCCAGTCAGGCCGGGAAGACCCTGAGCCCCTTTATCTCCTTTAGGACCAGGCATGTCCAGTCCCGGGAATCCGGGAAAACCCTTCTCTCCTTTGACTCCAGGAGGACCTGAGGTGGGGGCGAAGGATGAAGGCCTTTCAGAAGAATGTATGGTGGACAGCAGGCTTGGCTGTGTTCAGTGATTGCGTTCAGAAGGAAGCACATGAGCACCCCAGCACTGGCAGCGTGGCAGGGCAGCAGTGTTGGAAGCCACGGGGACAATCAGTGGATAAATAGTGGCGAGACCCCCACCCCTTTGTGCCATCAGTACAGCCAGCACTCTAGGCTCTCCAGCCACAGGCCCATTTTCCCTGCATGTTCCACCCTCTTCTCTGAGACTCTGCTGCCATCCTAGAATTATTGTGATTAACACAAAAGCTGCCAAGCCACAGACTCGACTAGTTACAATCCCAGCAACTTTTATAAATAAACATTTTAAGTTACTCAAGATACACCATTAGAGATTCTTTGGCATGTTACATACCATCTAATCATAGAAATCTATGATTTGGGATTTAAGCTTCAGAATCTAGAATTTGCTTTCTCCTCTTTCATTCAGAAATTGTAGTAATGTCTGCCCCTCCTCAGACACGACAGGGTCATCTCCCACCCACATGCTCAGGAACAGGACAAGTCTCAGAGAAGTTCACCTGATGAGCCGGGGGGTCCCTGCCCTCCAGGTGGGCCCATAGCCCCAGGGGGGCCGACTCCTGGCGCGCCTGGGGGTCCTGCAGGTCCTTGTACTCCAGGTGGCCCTGGGTCACCTGCCAGGGAAAGAGGGTGAGTAAATGGAGGGCTAGAGTGTGTCCCATTCCATCCATACTCCAGATACTATAACCGCAAATCCAACTACCATCTTCACCATCCATTCAACAAATGGCCTGAACACCTAGCAGGTGCTCTGATGAAAAATCAACAGACTCCACCCCTAACCCAGACTCAGACGTTACCTCTGACCCCCTGAAGGCCAGGGGGGCCTATCAGCCCATGCTCTCCGGGAACGCCTGGTCCCCCAATGCTGCCCTTCTCTCCGGGGGTGCCAGGAATGCCTGGAAGACCCGGCTGTCCTTTGATTCCAGGCAGACCAATTCCAGGCTCGCCCTGAAAATCCCCAATGTACGAGAAGTTAAATTAACCAGCAATATTCGCATGTTGTGCCAAGTCAACATCGTACCTGAATACCAGCATGCACAAATACTCTTGTCTGACCCTTTCAAATTTTACAAAGCCTCCTCACGCATTGTTTCCTGTCCCCCACCCATGAGCACCAATGTAAGTAACTGTGGTTCTTATTTCACTCTAGTGTTCTGCCCCAGCATGGCCCTGTCATAAAGATCAACCTAAAATGCTGGAGAATACTGCCCACAAGACTTGTGATGGGTTAGCAGGTGTCTTTCTGAGGCAGGCAGTCAATGTCCAGGACAGCACCTGGGCAACGTTTACCCAGTTTCACGTGTGAGAAAAAAACTTTCAAAACGAACTAAGCATTTAAAGCAACTCCATGAACCAAGAGACTTCAACCAATACATTGGCTGAAAACAAAGGAAGTATCTTGTAGGGCAAGGAAAGACTTCACGTCGGGGCGGGGGGGGACTGGGAGAAGGTCAGTGGGGGACAAGGTAAGTCCTGCAGTTGCCCCACACTGCAGGGGGGTGCCCCGCTGGTGCCACAAGGTAGAGGCTGGGGTTGCCGCTGCTCAAGGTCCACTACACACATATACACAGCGGGCCTGCAGCCACCCCAGAGGTCAGTCCTCAGCTGAGAAGCCCTGCGCTCAGCCCTCCCAGCCGAGCGGTATTTCTACATTGCCAATGGCTCTCCAACCAGCGTTCACTGACGGTTCACCATTAGAAAAACATCTCATACTGGGATCCGGCACACACATGGGCAAGCAAGCCTTAAAAAACTGAGCAAAAGAAAAAAATGAAAAAAGGTTTTATGAAACTGAAGACTGAAATCGTTTCCTGCCAGCCAGGTACCTGTGACTCAGACCTGTAATTCTAGCCACCCAAGAGGCGGAGTGAGATCTATTCAAAGCCACCCCAAGCAGGAAAGTCCATGAAACTCTTATCTCCAAGTTACCAGCAAAAAGATACAAGTGGACATACAGCTCAAGAGACAGAGTATCCGCTTTAAGCAAAAACTAAAAACAAAAACAAAAGCAAGGGGCTGGGAAGGTGGCTCAGTGGTAGAGCACTTGCTTTGCATGCATGATGGCCTGGGTTCAATTCCTCAACATCACATAAGCAAAAAGAAAAAAGCCGGAAGTGGCGCTGTGGCTCAAGTGGTAGGGCGCTAGCCTTGAGCTGAAAAGCTAAGGAACAGCGCCCAGGCCCAGAATTCAGGCCCCACGACCAGACCCAAAAAAAAAAAAAAAAAAAAAAAAACACCCAAAAAACAAACAAACAAAAATGAATTGGGAGAACCCAAGCCCTGAGTTCAAGTCCCAGGACTGGTTCATGAGGGTTCGCAAGCCACGCCGTATGCGTCCAGCTAACAAGTGCTCAGACCCACCTTCTGGCCTGGTACGCCGGGACTGCCAGGCAAGCCATTAAACCCAGGGCGACCCGGGCTCCCAGGGGGTCCTGCGTCTCCAGGTAAGCCATCAACACCTGTGGGAACAGAGAGAAAGTCTGTAGCTACCAGGCCACCCCACCCTCTTCAGTGAACACTCATGGTGTGGACAGGGCCACCCTTGGCCCCAGCAGACTCCATGAGGTGACACACCACCATCATGAGCAGCAGCCCGGCCTGGCATCAAGCCACTGACCCAGGGGTCCTTCAGGCCACTGTTTCCCTTCTCGCAGATCTGTTATGTGACAGTGAGACCACAGCCATTGCTTCTAAGCAGTGCAAAACGGACCCTTGCCCCCAGGGCCTCTGCCCAACAATCCCTCTCACATGCAAGCTCCTGGCAGGCTCACCTTTGGGACCTGGAGGCCCAGGAAATCCAATCCCTGGCTGGCCCACCGCACCCTTCTCTCCTGGGAGGCCAGGCCGGCCTGGAGTTCCTGGAAAGCCTCGGTCACCTATGGTGACAAAGGCAGGGAGTCAGTGGGAGGAAATTGAGGAGGACCCGTGAGCTGTAATGAGCTGGAATTCCCATAGTACCTTGAGGGCCTGGGAATCCCGGGGCTCCCGGAAGTCCTTCTGCTCCCGGAGGACCCGGCAAAGGAACAACCTTTCCTGCTTCACCCTTGGGACCTGAGGACAAAGAGCAAAACCGTCAAGTGTCAACTACTGCACCCCACAGGCTGGTGTGCAAGCAGATCCACCCCAGGAGCATCCTAGGGCTCAAGGAGAGGAGGAGGTGGAAGGTCACATGTGTCTTTGTGTTTTTTAATGGCAGTCCTGGGGCTTGAACTCAGGGCTTAGGGCTTACGCCACAGTGCTATTTCTGGCTTTTTTGGTAGTTTATTGGAAATAAGAGTCTCCTGAACTTTCCTGTCCTGGCTGGCTTTGAACAGTGATCCTCAGATCTCAGTCTCCCGAATAACTAGGATTACAGGCATGAGCCACCAGTGTCTGGCTTGCTAAGTATATTTTCTGGCAAATCCCTAGAGGGGAAAGCAGGAGGCCAGAGACCATGTCCATGTCAACACTCAGCCTAGTAGTACTTGGCAGATGAACCATTCAAAAAAGCAGTCAGCAAAGGACTAAAATCACCATGGAATTAAGCAGCCACTGGGCATCAGAATCAACCCAAAGGCACCTACACATGTGTGGGAAGTGGAAACAACACTACCTGGAAACAGTGACTAAGACGAGCAGGAAACAGGCAAAGGGAAAAAAATGTCCTGAGGCTTCAATTACATCTACATAAAAAGCTGACTTCAGCTGACCTGCACTGTATGCATCTATAAGGAAGACTACCAGCTGACCTGAGCTATATGTAGTTACAAGGAAGACCATCTATAAATCCAGGTTGGGTTTTAGGCTCTACACGTCACCCGGCCGATTTCACACATGAAGAAGTGAGGTACAGAAATGTTCAGGAAGGCCATGCCCAGGCCACGTCTCTCTTCCTGGAAGAGCCAGGCCCTGCATCTCTGACCCAGCACATCTCTGTGAACTGGAAGCTGCCCCACAGGTCCTTAAACCTCACCTGGCAAACCTGGGGATCCAGGGCTTCCAGGAAATCCTGCCTGTCCTTTGTCACCAATGGGGCCAATAGGGCCAAATCCTGGGGGTCCAGGCGGGCCGATGTCACCCCGGCTGCCCGGGAAGCCAACTCCTCCAGGGGGACCACGTTCTCCCTTCAATCCTACTGAACCCTGGAGCAACAAAAGGAAAAGGTAAACCTTACCAAGACAGACAACACTGTCATTCCCATCCATGCCCATCCTTCGGTCATCTAAGCACCAGGGTCTATCTGGTTTACACCGCTCACTTCAGCGCCAGTGGCCCTACCGCCCTTCCCCCCTTCCCCCCCCCCCAGCAAGTGACTCCAGTCTTGTTTGCCCTAAGCAAAGCAGTCGCCACCCCACACACTCCCAAAAAAAGCCTAAAATAGAGTCATATCTGAGAGTGAGGGCCACACTCCAATCCTCTCCTGAAATCCCATGAGCACCTTAGCTTTAAAACCAGTCCCCCAGGGCAAGCAGAGAGAGAGGATAACACAGGCATGGAGGCCAGTTCACGGGATGTGTTCAGGTGTGCAGTCACCATCAAAGGAAATGTTTAGCTCGCATTCGAATCATTTCATTTCATCCAATCATTTCCTTACTGTCATCCATGTTTGTGGAATGCACACTTACAGTCTAGACATGAACATACCGGGGAGCCTTTGGGCCCTGGAAGCCCGGGGTGGCCGTCCCGTCCCGGGGACCCCGCTCTTCCTGGCATGCCGGGCTGTCCCGGAAAACCAGGGTCTCCTTTATCGCCTTTGAGTCGCATGTCGAAATAAATCTCGCCAGGCTCTCCCTTGGCTCCTGGCTGGCCCATCAGTCCAGGCGCACCTTGTGGCCCCTACAAGAACAAAGCTGCGTGAGGCCTCCGAAGAGTCTGCTCCCCGACCACAGCATGCTGCCCACACAGAGGACACCGCCATGCATCTACATCTCTCCACCTCACTTTCCAGAAGCAGCCAATGGCTCCCTGACAGAGCTAGGCATTCTAAACAGAAGGGGACTGTGAGCACTCAGCAAAACACGTCAGTAACTGTTGGGCGAGGGCCTGGGGGCTCGCGAGACGCTGGGGAAAGGCTCGCCGAGGGCTGGGGACAGCGAGGCTCTGGTCGGAACACTGCTGGGATGCACGGACTTCCTTCGGCGCTCACGCGTGCTATTCCCTAAGTGACAGGACCTCCTGGACACCAGTGAAAAGGAAAACCTGGGGGAAGTAAGCCCGGGCTGCCTCTATAATGATCCTCAGGAGAGTCACCGTCTAGAACATTTTCAGTTCATGGAAAAGTTGGATCGGCGGAGAACTTTCAGGCCATCACCCTTTTCTCCTCCGGTCTCCCTGAGAGACGAGGTTCATGAGGAAAATGACAGAAGTTTCAAAAACATTATTCTAATTGCCTGTTCTCTCAGGGTCGAGAAGGGCATTTTAAATGGCTTCCTGCTGGTCTGAAAAAAAGTCTCTACCTCGGTATGATTCATTTCTTCTTCATAAATGTTCTCATAATTCCTTCAGATGATCACGCACAGGCTGGCACCTCTGTGTACATATGTCTCCAGGGACGGCACTGGGACACCGAGGACACAAACAGTTCCGTAGTTCATGTGATCTTTAGGCTTTGAAAGTAGTTATACTAGTGCCGGGTGCCAGTGGCTCAGTGGTCAGAGTTCAAGCCCCAGGACTGGCAAAAAATACAAGTAGCTATGCTAGAAATGACTACCTTGCTAAGACAACGGGTTGACAATGTGTGCCTCCTCTGGTATTTCTATTTTTTGAGGTCTGTGACAAATCCGTCCAATTGGCCATATTCACTCACTAAAATAAATGCATACCAATGGAAGGAATCACAACCGAAATACCTTTTCCTCAGTCTGGGAGCATCAGTTAGGTTACTTCACGGGGACACTCACTGCGTAGACTCAGAAAGCAGGATAAAGGTTTTTAATGAGGACCTTGTCAGCTACCATTCTATACAAGTGAGAAATCCAGACTTTTAAGTGGCACTGGTGGCCCTAGATTCTCTCATGTGTGTTCTTGGCTGAACATCTTGACCCTGAGCGGTTCGAAGGCAGTTTGATCTGCACTCGTAAAGATGGCAAAGGACTCAAATGAGGCCCTGAAGATTGAGCACTGGCTCAATCCTAGCTGGGGAGGCTGGACACATGCATGGAAACTTCCAGAAGCAGAGCCTCTGGGCTCGTTCTAGGTGAATACCCAGGGCCCCAGAACCCTGCTTGGACCACTAGGTGTCTTTCACTCAAGCAGTTGTCATTAACTCCCAGATTCAAAGGCTGGACCTCCAAAAGGAAATGTCACCAAATGTGGTCTAAACTCCTGGAAGACCCAGGGGACAGCCCAGTCCCAGTGCCACTGCGATCCTTGTTCCGGCATGTTCCAGGGTCCCTGCTGCTGGCATGGATCTGTCCAGCCAGCACCCACTTAAGCCATAAGTTGTGATCTAATTTCAAATAAAGGAAAATTACTGTCTTCTCAAGTAAGTTATTGACTCCTTGATTCACTTTTTGAGGTTTGTATTCCATCCACAGTAAGAAAGGGGGTCCTGGGTGTAAATGGATGAGAGTCGGTTCTTTATTTTCTTCTTTTATATCTCCTCCACCATCCTCTCTCATCTCTCCTTCTACTTGCACCTCTCTCAGATTTGGGAGGTCAGTGGGGGCATCTGGTCTGGTTCCCAGCCAGAACAGAGACAGAAAATACCCCAGGGAAACCAGGCAGACACGGGCCATGGGCAAAGGTTAAAAAGAGCTTTTCTGCTTCCTTCAAGCATCTTCCCACTTTGATCCTGCAACAGTGAGCTATTTGAACTTCTCGTCTATTTAGAGATATTTTAAACAACTACTGCTTCTAACTCCACTCTCCAGGCACCAGACGATTCTGGAAAGCCGAGGCCAGGGTATGACTTCAAAGCAGAAGCCAGCTGCACCCTCCCGTGGCCACTCATGCTGCCCTGGTCTCCTCCCAGAGGCATGTCTGTCCAGCAACATCTTTAAAAGCCACAAAGTTTAAAGAGCCACATCAGAAAGAACGGTCAGGCTAAAGATATGACTTTCAATTTCTGTACAAAAAGAAACAAGGAACGAGAAGCCTCAGAGAAATGAGTTAATCTTACAAAGCTTGGCAGAGTCAAAGAAAGAGGAGCTGGCTAAAGGAGGCGCACCAGGAATGCTAAGGGGCTGCCGAATTCCACTGAGCTGAACAGTTTCTGTTCATTTGCATGAATATGTGGCATCTCATTTGTAGATGCAAAGAGAAGCACTGATCTAAGAGAAGTTGGAAGCAGGAATTCTCAACATACAGATGAACAAAAGAATGAAAAGATATCCCAGATCTTTGAGAGAAAGGGCTGGTTTTTCCCCTCTCTCTCAAGAGCCTTGATTAGGGCTGAGTTAACAGTGGTTGAGATTTTAGGTATGTGGTCACACCCTAAGCAATGGCCAGACAGGAGCAGCGGATCCCTGTGCTCAGGCTGCGGGAGTGGCATGTAGCCTCAAGGCTGTAGAAGTGATGTGCTGAGCCCCTGGACTGAAGTCCCTGAGACCCCATGGTATGGACATGGTGCCACTCACTGCACAAGACACTGGGAATTGCCACAGCTCTGAGAAGGCCGAGGCCACGGGGCCTGGGTTTGAGAGCTTCCCATGGGGCAAAAGGGGTCATTCTAGAGGACTTGCGGTTGTCGGTTACAGCTAGCAGGTGACTGCAAATGCAAACACAGGCCTTCCAATACGTGAACAAACTCAGGTCTGCTTACCGGCAGTCCTTCAAGACCGTCCCTTCCAGGCAAGCCTCTGTCACCTTTGGCACCCGGTTGGCCTGGGAAACCTTAAAGGAGATGTGAGAACAGTATCCATGAACCAACCCTTCCAAACCCCTTTTCCCTGATGCTCACCTGTCAAATGTTTCTATGGAGTCTGTTTGTTGGCGGTACTGGAATTTAAACTTAAGGCCTTGAACTTGCTAAGCAGATGCTCCAACATTTCATCCACATCCCCAGCCTTTTTCCATTTATTTATTTATACTTATTTTTGGTTTTTGGTTTTTTGTCAGATGTATGGCTTGAACTTAGCCTGGGCACTGTCCCTTAGCTCTTCAGCTCAAGGTGAGCACTCTACCACTTGAGCCACAGCACCACTTCCAGTTTTCTGGTGGTTAACTGGAGATAAGAGTCTCACAGACTTTTCCTCACCAGGCTGGCTTTGAATCGAGATCCTCAGATCTCAGCCTCCTGAGTAGCTAGGATTACAGGCATGAGCCACGGATGCCTGACTTTATACTTAATTTTTCAGATAGGCTCTCACTAATTTTTTGTCCTGGTTGGCCTCAAATCACAATCCTCCCAATCTCTACCTTCTGAGTAGTTGGGATTACTACAAGTGAGTACCATTTTATCTGACTAATGATCACTGAAATGTGTTCAGAGAGTAATATCAGAAATGCCCACACTGGCCTGCAAGGGGAAACCATGAGTCCAGGCATACTGGCACCAGAGCAGTGTGGCTGTCCTCCCTCCCCTCTACCCACCCACTTGCCCGCCACCAGGGACCTTGTAAAGAGGAATTGCTGCAGCGTTCTTATGCACAGACTCCAACTGCGGAGCTAAGGATTCTCTGTGCTGCTCTTTTTCATTGGGAAAGCTTTATAAGGCCACAGTGACAGCCACCTGGCCACTGCTGCCAGAGTGGACAAAGCCTTTGATATTCTCATTGTGGTGCTGCAGCCTGGAGGACAGGCAAGTGCTCTGAAAGAGGAGGCTCCCGCACTGAGCCCCGCCTGGGCCTGGACCTCCTGTCCACACCCACAGCTTACCTATCTCTCCCGGAGGCCCCTGTGGCCCAGGAGGCCCTTGAAGTCCTTCTGTGTCACAGGCGAGGCAGCTGTCACCTTTCTGACCTGAGAGAGGAAGCACAGGGTGACAGAAGGACACACGGTTAAAAGAGGGGGAGACAGCCAGTCTGTCATTCACATGAGCATGAAACTTCCGTCCCCTCCATCCCCATCCTCCCAGCCCTCTGCTAGAGGGCACTGGGAAGACCCACCCTTCTGTAGACACCTAACACCTCCAGTCTTGATTTGCAAATGACACTGGGATGTTCTGGTGTTTCAGATACACCTGTGTCTTTCTTCTTTAAGATGTCTGGGCTCTGGCACAAACTGGGCATAATATAGAGCAGATGGTACGGAACCCAGTCTGGGAAACACAAAGAGACTGGCCTGCCTTCCCCATCCACCTTGCCTGACCGGCAGCCAGAAGTGGACACAGGACAGGTACTGGTCCATATCCCTGAAGTACAAGGGGCACCTGGGGATGGACCCTGGGGTGCTCTGGGAGGGTCTCTGCTCCCATGACTAGAGGCGGAAGGAGGAGGCTCGGTCCGGACATCTGATTGTGTAACAGGCTGGGGACCTGGCTCAGGGGAAGGGTGCTTGTTGCTCACGCACAAACCCAGATGCCAGCTGCAGCTGCTTCCCACAGCAGTTTCATGTTTTATAGACTTTTGAAGACTAAAAATTCTTTATGATCCAAATCCAAAAATGGAACACAATAGGGTGGGTTTTGCAAGGGCCTCCTGTTTGTTCTGCTTCTGGGTTAACAGGCATATAAATTGTGGAATGCTAATTGTTTATTCCTCTTAAGCCAGAGATAATGACGGGGTGACAGTCCTCTCTGTCCTCAAGATAGCGGAAGAGATAAGTATGTCCGGTGTTGACAATGCAGCCCTGAAAGACTAAAGATAAAGTTGAGCCTCCACACTGGTTTATCACAGCCCCCAAGGGCTGTGAGCCTTCTATGAACTCACACATCCACCAAGGCCTGGGAACCTTACACGCACAGGTCCACCAACGCTGTGAGCCTTCCACGTACAGGTCTGTGACCTGGCTCATAGGAAGGCTGTGGATTCTTTGATAATAAAACTCAAAAGCTTTGAAAGCGGAGAACATGGGATCAGCATGAGAAATGAGCCTACCCTACCAACATGCTGAGTCCACGGTTGGTGGACAGGGTAGAGAAGGACCTGCAGAGTTCACGGACATCCTAGCTCATGGCCTCTTGCAAAAACCTAGCACTGCCACTTGATTATTCTGGGCTTTTACTTCGAGTGGATTTCTGAAGGGAGACCCAAATAAATGAGTCAGGCCCATCCCCATCCTACTCCAAAGCAGAAGTCTGTGGGAGGAAATTCAAATGTACAAACTCAATCATTTTTTTAAAAGCATAAATAATGAAAACCCCTTACCCTTCTCTCCCATCTCGCCCGTCAGTCCCTGCTGCCCGGGAATTCCTGGAGGGCCCTGGTCCCCAGGCGGTCCAGGCTGGCACTCCACAATGCCATCTGAAATGAGATGCACACATTACAGAATAATGGCTGGACACTTCCATTCTCTCTTAAGTCCCTCCCCCCTCTCTGTTGTAGGGCTTGACCTCTGGGCCTGGGCACTGTCCCAGCATTTCAGCTCAAGGCTAGCGCTCTACCACTTGAACCATAGCGCCACTTCTGGCTTTTTCTGATTATGTGGTGCTGAGGAACTGAACCCAGGGCCTCATGCATGCAAGGCAAGCACTCTACCACTGAGCCACCTTCCCAGCCCAGCCCCCTCTCTCTCTCTCTTTTTTTTTCAAGTGGCATTTTTATTTTCCTTCTTGGGAAAAACACGGACTGCTTCCTGACTTTATATGTCATCCTTACAACAGGCTGTATAAATCTATGTGTTTTCCAATTTTCATGGAAGTGCAGCCAGAGAGCATTCCCTCTTTTGTGTAGAAGGGGCCCCCAGTGCTCAGGCCGAGATTGTTAACTGTCAAAACAGAACCGACGCACAGCGCATCATCTCCTCATCTCCTAATGGCTGCTATGTCAGATTCTAAAGCACATATTCTTGTAAATATCTACCATCCTCAAGACCAAAACACCAGGGCTCAAGCTAGGGAAGCGATTCGCCCATGAACCTCGACAGACGCCTTTTACAGCACTTCCCAGGGGAAATGCGTGAGAATGATGGTCAATTCTGAATGTAGCTTATACAAAAAGGCATGAGAACAAATTACAGTCATGCAAACACCACCTGTCAGGAGCTGAGGTAAAAGAAGTACTGTTTTACAGTCCTGATGCACACTGAGATGGAGTTTGCTTCCTTCTCCACCACCACCTTTTAGAAAAAGGATGGCGTGAAACACTTGACAGCTAGCACCTCTGCATGGGCACTACTTCCCAGTCCTGTGCTGTGCTGAGGTGACCCTTCTCCTCCACACTGTCCTCTGCTTCTGATGGACAGACGCCCGCAGTGGAAGGACCCAGGGTCTGGGCTGTCTGCTAACTGTGAGTGTTAACCTGTGCCAACCTGTCCAGCCCACCCTGCTTACCCCCACTACAATAGGAGCATGGGAAACAGAGCCCAGATCTCCACGCTGGCTCGGTCCAGCCTAGCTCAGCCGATGTCAATGCCAATGTGAGAGGAACACGAAGTCTTGCTTGGCCGGGGGTTGATTTATGTCTTCGTGGCCTGAGAACCTGAGCTGTGATCACTCTGAGACCTGATGACTCCTCTAGACATTCCGACCCCTCGCACAATGGAGACTATATGTTAGAGGAGGGGAGATCCAGTCCGGGCTTCCAAGGTAACCCTGAGTGCCCCAGGCAGACCCCACAGCCACCAGTCCTGCAAGCAGTGGCAGAGGCTCATCCAGAAATCCCTTTCCCAGAAACTTCCTCCTGCCATCCTCAATTCTCGGAAATCTCTTCCTAGTGAAAAGCAATGATGACGCATCCTCACCAAAGGGACTCTTTTAAAGAATCTGAAGTCTACACCATGAACATCGACTTATTTTGGGATCACTTTGGGCGGTCTGAGCTGCATGTGTTACAACAGTGCCATGGAGGGCAGTCACGTGTGGCCTCAAGCTGGCCACAAGCTTTTGGGAGAACACAGAAGCAGAACCAGGGTGTGGGGTCTCCACATCATAAGCTCAGGAGCCCCTGGTGAGCTCCGAGCCAGCATAGCTTTCACATACCGCTTCTTCTGCATACAGGGGAAATCTACATTAAAAATCTCACCAGGAAATCGCACTCAGTACTCTGTGATGGGCAATTACTTGTTTACATAGACTACAAAGGGCAAAGTAGAAAACTGGGGTGGCACCATCATCAGGGCTACCTTAACTGCACCAAGGGACCATCTAGCTGCTCGGCTCTTATGGAGTCCTGACACGTGACATGTCATCCAAACTCAAAGTCATTCATTCTGTTACAATGCACAGGAGTGCCACCTGCCCCATGCAGTCTCCTCTTTCTTGGGGGAGGGGTGTGTGTCTCTGTGTGTAGGTAGAGCAGAATGCCTTCAGTTGGTTTTTTTTTTTAAAGGTACAATCCAATGAGTTTACCTTTCACCACAGATGCCAGGAGACTCAGAGTTGGTAAATATGTTACTTATTCCCCTTAAGCCAACTTTATTTTTAATGATTCCTTTTTATAGCCCAGTTAATTCTGCGCAGCTACCCAAGCGAAGCAATGAGTGATTCATCATTGTTGGAGGTCCAGGCCTTGACAAGCCACCCTGAGCAGGGCAGAGCCGGGGCGCTCACCCACCTCTGCCCCCAGCCTCCTGGCATCTGGCTGGACACACTCGAACCATCTCTGAGGACACTTACTGGTGTGGCCTGGCTGCCCAGGGGGCCCGGGAAGGCCAGGAGGGCCAGGGGCTCCGTCTCTTCCACTTGGTCCTGGCAAAGACACTCCTGGAAGGCCTTGGCTGCCTTTTTCTCCTCTCTCTCCAGGGAAGCCAGGAGGGCCCACCTGCCCTGGGCTGGGGAGACCTGCAGAGAACACAGGGGGCCCTGTCAACATCACCACACACTTGACGTCCTAGCCCGGAGCACATCCATGCCGCCCAAGGCCCAGCGCCTGCCAGGCCAGCACCAAGACAGCAGAACCAAGCTTCTGCCACACCAGGCCTGCCCACACGTCCTACAGACTTCCACAGGGAAGAGGACCCACGGGACAGACATCAAAACCTAGAGGATGGGGCTCCCTGGGTGTGAATGAAAGGGCTGGGGAAGAAAATCAATCCCATTCCTGCCTGGAGAAGCAGTGCAGAGAGGTCAGAAAATAAAGAAGTGGACATGAAGCATGAAGGGGCAGAAGGGGGAAATGACCAGATTGGCAAGGAAGCCACAGAGCTAAGGACAAGCCATTTTCTTTGGTTCTGGGAACGGACTAGGAGTCAGCCCATGCATGGGGTATGAATGTGCAAATCCAGCTTTAGCCAGCACAAGCAGCCATGGGTCTCATGGGCAGCCCTGGGATGGAGCCGGCTCATGGTGCAGGAGCCGCAGAGAATGTGCTGCTGTGCTGGGAGGAAGCAGCCAGTTGGGAGCCCAGGGCATGTTCTGCATGGAATGACTCGGCAGGAGTTCAGAGCAGGGAAGATGAGAAGGACAGAGCTCCAGGGTTGGCCATCAGACACCAAGGGGCTTGAGAATAAAGAGGCTTTAATCTCTGCTTTGACCTCAAGAGGAACAGGCAGAAAAATCTCAGTCTGAGACAGGCCCAGGTGAGGGTGAGAGAGCTTGCTTATCTAAAAACAAAACAAACAAACAAAAAGTAAACTAAACTAAAAACAAAGGGACTGGGGCATGGTTTAAGCAGTAGAGTGCCTGCCTAGCAGGCCTAAGGTCTGAGTTCAAAACCCAAGGTATGCATCTTCACTAGAGGGAGACAGGAAGTAACTCCTTCCCTAGTACAAAAGAGAAAACCCTGGAAAGGGAGAGAGAGGTGCTCATTATTAGACAGGGAAAGGACGGGGCCCTGCCTGGGGCCAAGGGATTGCTGGGGGCTTTACTGGGTTCCTGCACAAAGGAGAACTTAGACTTTCCAGAAAGGGGAAAATGAAGAAATGAATGCAAAGGACAAAAGAACTAAATTAAACATCAGGACTATGAGCGTCAGCTGATGTCAGCTCCCAGGCCAGGCTTGGTCTCCTCAGCTGCTGTCTTTGCTGTCCGGGATGCACACGCAAACATGCATGCAGAAACACACGCATGCACACACACACATATACACATGCATGATGCCCATCCTCAGAAGAGGCCGGCTCTTAGGACACACACACACACACACACACCAGCCTGCATGAGCCAGCCGTGGAGAAACCTTGCGCCCAGCAGTGCCAGACTCCATGGGAAAGCCAAAAACCGAGACAGGTTGTCAGGAGCAGCTGGTATCAGCCTCGAGCTCGGCTGATGTCTGGTGAGAAACATTCCAGAGAGAGGAGAGGCGAAGTGAGGGGTAGTGCCCTGCCAGGGCAGGGACTTGCAAGGAGGGCATACTCCCAGGATGGGGGACCTACACGGGAGGGCGTGCTCCTGGGATCTGGATCGGAAGGGCAGGGCAGGGCAGAGCTGAGCTGGGAGGCCGGCCACGATCACCAGTGGGACAAACAGCCCCCATCACCTCTCCTGTCTATGAGCAGCATGCTATCTATCTTACACCCACATCTAAATTGCACAATACATGTGCAAAGTGTATCAATCAATCACAGAGTGTATCAATCAATCACAGAGTGTATCAATGCATAGTCTACCGAGAAGTCAGACGGGAGTCTCACCTGGAGGTCCTGGCTGGCCTGGTAATCCGGGGTAACCTTGAAAGAGAAAGAATTATACAAAGTAAGATTTCATTCACTTGTGTTTACATGTGTCTCCTTTTTCCTCTGTTGGAGCCCGGCCTAGGGTGTCTGGGGGGACAAAGTGGAGGACAAAGTGCCCCCTAAGTATTCCCCCTGCAGAGACATCATGCTCAGGAAGCTGCAGGAGAAGATGCTCCTGGGCACCTGGTATAACCGTGAGATGGACCTCGGGGGGTGAGAAGGACATGTCACCAGCATGCCACAGAGCGAGCAGACACTTTCAGAGAGGAGGACAGGAGGAAGGAGTGGGAAGGAGATGGGGAGGGGAGGAGGGGGAAGTAGAGAGGGAGGGAGAAAGATGGCAAAGGGGAGGGAGGAGAATGGAAGGAGGGAGAAAGTGTTAAGACCCTACCTTTAGGGCCTGGCTCTCCTCTCGAGCCAGGAGTTCCTGGGTAGCCTCGCTCTCCTTTTTCCCCCAGGGGCCCGGTGCCTATGACCTGCATAACACAACGTCACTGTGCTGTAGGGGTGCATGTGAGGAGAGGGAAGGGGGAAGGGCATCTGGATCACAGGGGATGAGCATCCATAATGATCTTTTCAGGGAACTGAGTGCAAGCTGCTCCTGCCCCAGCCTGAGCCACACTCTGGGGAAGCAGACGCAGCCACAGATGGGCATTTAGAATTTCCAAACACATCCATAGGTGGTGTAGTAGGGTGCACTTCCCAGACCACGGTCGGGGATGTCTCCTCTGCTCCCACAGGCTCTTGGCAACTGGGATACTTTCAACATCTTATTGGAAGAGGTTTTAAGCTTTTCCTTTTGTTTAGGATCAAAAGTGCCATGTGCTGGTAGCTTACACCTGAAATCCTAATTACTTAGGGGGAGGAGATCTGAGGATCAAGGCAGGCCTTGGCAGGACTTTCCTAAGTCCAAGAGACAAGGTTAATTTTACTCAACTCATAAAGTGACATGATGAATGGAGCCCCTTTTGGACAACTACTTTAGAGTAATAATAATAATAATAGTAATAATAATAATAATAAAAGCCCATGAGACTTAAGTCCATGGCTCAAGTGGTAGAGTCCACAGCCTTGAACTAACAAAGCAAAGGAACAGCATCTAGGCCATGTGTTCCAGCCTCAGTTTTGACACACACACAAAATAAAAGATAAAAATAAAATGATAGTATTTCCTTGTAGCAAAGAAATTAAGAACACTATTAAAAGTGCTGTGAGTTCTACATAAAAAAGCATCTTGTGCATGGTTAAGTATGTACAGATTTTGCAATTAAGAATGCATAAGATGCCGGGCACCGGTGGCTCCCGCCTGCAATCCTAACTACTCAGGAGGCTGAGAGCTGAGTATCACGGTTCAAAGCTAGCCTGGGCGGGAAAGTCCGTGAAACTCTTATATCTAATTAACCACCAGAAAACTGCAAGTGGCACTGTGGCTCAAGTGGTAGAGTGCTAGCCTTGAGCTGAAGAGCTGAGGGACAGGGCCCAGGCCCAGAGTTCAAGCCCTCACGACCAACAACAACAAAAAAAGAATGCATAAGGTGGGAAGCATTAAGGAAAAGTGAATACACAGTTGTGCTGGAGGCCAAGGTAAAAAGGCCTCCAGCCGGTCTCAAAGTGGAGCCAAGGTGTAGCAGCTTTCAGGCATGGAGAAGGCTCTAGAAAGTAGGGTCCAATAACCCCCTTGCTAGGAATGTGACATAAGGACTGAGCGCCAAGCACCCCTCCCTCACATGGCCTGGGCACACAGCACAACACGGCTGCCATTGCAATCAGACCTGAAGCCAAGCCTAATATGGGGGGGTGGGGTGGGGGAGGTGGGGGGGGGGAGGGGGGGAGAGGTGTGCAGGCTGACCATGAAAAAGGGCTGGCCTACTTCCAGAACACGTGGTGCATGTCAATCCCAAGTCTACATGACCGCACAGACCAAGAGGAAAAGTTATTCGCAAAATAAAAACGTGTGTTTGCTTGGAAAGCCAGCTTGTAGATGATAGATTTCTCTTATTAAAAAGGTCTTTACTGGACAATTTAAACAAAGACTAGGTTTCAAAAGGGATGGCTAACATTCTTATCTAGATGCAAATCTTTTCATTTCCAGAGGTTTAAAGATGTGCAGCAATTACCCCCAATATAACGGAAATAGTGCAACACAAATGATAATGTGATTTCAAATGACGCCTTCAAATGGCTTCATGGTAAAATGTGCCCAGCCCCACCTCAGTCACACACACAAACCAACACACAGTGTTTTACTCACAATTCCTGGAGGGCCTGGAAGCCCAACATCACCTTTCTCACCCTATAAAAAATACATACACATATATATATATATGTTATTTATATTTATATTTACATACAAACAAATAGGCACATCCCACTTTGCTTGATATAAATGTGGCATATGCAAATAAAGATTTGTACAAAACATGACTGGGGTGCAGAACCCACACAACTGAAGCCCTCACAACATTGGTCTATGGATTGCTCGCTCCAAGACCCTTATAAGAATCATTAGGAGCTAAATTTCTGCACCGTGGGTCTCAATAACACAGTGAGGAGGCGTGATTCCTAAATATATTTCCCTCAGCCATTTTATAAGAGAGGTTTTACCATGTAAAATTTGTAGAAAGTCTTAATACAGAGTCCAGTATCAACTGAAAACATTGGCAAATAATTTCTGTTTATTTCTGAGGTTTAATTTAATTCACATTAGATGAACCACCCCCCAAAAAATCCTTTTTTTAAGTTCTTAGACAAGCATCACAGTAATAGTCTAGAAAGTCCTAAAACATACATATTATGTCATGAATATAAGATGTTAGGAAGTGGCTCTGTGGCTCAAGTGGTAGAGCGTTCGCCTTGAGCTGAAGAGCACAGGGACAGCGCCAGGCCTAGAGTTCAAGACCCACCACCAACAACAACAACAAAAAAAGATGTTAACTGTAGGCTTTAAACTAGAACTGAAACTACTGCATTTTCTCACATGAACACAAAAGGAGATTTTAGACAATACGTAGCACTTAACACCTTAGCTGCTGGGCTAGGTGTAGCTCTGTGGTAGAGCACCCTTTGAAGAGGGCTAGCCTGTGAAAGGCCCAGCACCAAAAACAAAATAAAACAAAACAGCCCTTAGCTACTGTATCCCAATATAGCCATCACTTAATACCCACAGGCCTTGGTTCTCTCAAAACTTATAGCAGAATCTTTCTCCCTCCCTAGCTTCCATGAATAATGCCCTCTCACCCCTCCCCAAAATCATTGCTTATTTTGGAAGAGATTTAGATTACCAGTCTCATAAATAACATTTTTTTTTGTGCCAATGCCACTAACAAACCTGGAAAATAACCATGTGCCAAATGTAGAGGCTTCAAAAACAGAGGCTCGATATAGTTTCCCAACCTGCATTCTTGTGAATTTATGACCTAGTAAGTTACCCAAACTATTTGCAATCATAAAATTATTTTTTTTCTTTTTACAGCTTCTTTTTTTTATTGTGAAAATACTGTACAGAGGGGTTACAATTACATGGGCAAGATAATGAGTGCATTTCTCATCAAGCATTATAGCCTCCTCATAAAATTCTTAAAAGGAGTTAACTAGCAATCAGCAAAAGGCCTGGGTGCTGCAGAGTCCTTGTGGAATGCCATGTCTGCCTGGGCCTGACCTGAATAGCAAAGAAACATGCACTACTCCAGAACCCTCCCACCACCACCATCTCATCCTTTGTGTGAGGCCTCCTCCTGCCTCAGCCTCCTGACAGCTGGCATTACATGTGTGCATGCCCCTTCTGGTTCAATCCCACTTTTTAAGAAGCATACAGAAAAAACAATGTTAATCAGACCACCTAAACAGGTAATAGACCAGATAGGCTTTCTTTTCCCCATTGTGTTTTTCTGAGTTTTCTCTTCTTTCATATGCAGGAAAAATTGGTCTCTACCAGAATAGACATAGAATGAGTGAATAGTTTTATTTATTTTTCTTTATAAAAGTTCATGAAGCAAAAAGGCCCAGAGCATGGCCCAAATGGTAGAATACCTGTCTAGAAAGCACAAAGTCCTAAGCTCAAATTCCAGTCAGTACTACCAAAAAAGAAGTTTTAAATTCCATGAACACCAAGAAAATTAAATTGGGCTTTTATCCCTCAGAAGTAGACACCCTCCCCCTCAGAGTCTAGAGGGTTTTTGGTTACTTTTCCTTTTTATTCTAACAAAACCTAAGTGAGCTCCTAGTTCCAGTACACAGTGAAGAGAGTGACCACGTACCTGTGGACCCATCTGGCCTGGGAGTCCTGGGTACCCCGAGTCGCCAGGAAAGCCCTAAAATAAAAGAGGAAGCAGTAATGGTCAGCCAAGAAAGGGGCAGTGTTGGTGTTTCCAGAAATTGCAGGGGGACACTTACCGGACTCCCCTTCTCTCCTTTCTCCCCGTCTTTCCCAGGCTTTCCCTGCAATAAACATGAAGACATTAGTCGGTCACAAATAATCCCCACAACATACGCCAGAGCTCACTGCAAGGTAACACGCCGTCTCTCTTGTGTGTCCATGAGAGGACAGAGAGATTGGCAACTGGAGTGAAGGCCACACTAGAGGGGACGCTCCATTTCCAGAGGCACATGGTGACAAGGCTGGCACCAGAGACCGTTGGCCACGGGCATCAGAGCACACAGGATGACACGCAAAGGCCCCTTCTATGAACTTCCCACAGGTGACCACAGGGACATCCCAGGCGGTGGCAACTGGGTAGGTGTCTTGCCATCACTGCCCCCGAGGCACAGGCTTTGTACACGGGATGTCAGCACTGGAGCCATCCGTACCCTCTCTGGTTTGGCAGGATGGGCGGCCTCACTGGGCCCCTGGGGAGGGGTGGCCAACCCACTCAGGAAGAGGGGTAAGCTCCAAGGCCTTACTCACCCGGGGCCCTGGCTTTCCGGGTTCACCTTTTTCTCCAAAGCCTGGCATTCCCTGAAATGAACAAAGACAGAGGAGTTGGTTTTGCATACACATGTAAGCAAGTGTTAATTAAGATTCAGGCTGCTTCCTGTTTTGTTTTACTTATTTTGAATTTTTTTTTTTAGTGCTGTTACTGGGATTTGAACTCAGGGCTTTGCCGGACACTGGTGGCTCACACCTGTAATCCTAGCTACTCAGGAGGCTGAGATCTGAGGATAGCAGTTCAAAGCCAGCCCAAGCAAGAAAGCCCATGGCATTCTTATCTCTAACGAAACACCAGAAAACCGGAAGTGGTGCTGTGGCTCAAGTGGTAGAGCACTCGCGTTGAGCTGAAGAGCTGAGGGACAGCATCCAGGCCCAGAGTTCAAGCCCCACAACCGACAAAAAAAAAAAAAAAATGAACTCAGGGCTTTGTGCTTGCTAGGCAGATGCTCTATAGGTAAGTGTAACAGGAAATAAGCTTGTCTCCTTAATCTGCATTGCCTTTCATCTAGAAATAATGACAGAGCAATAGAGTGCTTACCTGAAATCCAGGTTCACCTTTTTGACCCTGAAAGAATTTAGAGAGGGAAAGAGAGGGATCAGTATTAAGTATGGGCAGTGTGAAGTAAGGCCAGTACTAACCAAGCTATGCATGCTGACATGTTTACAAATGAGTGCACATTGGTTTCCAGTATCCCCGCCTTGCACTGTCTAGTCTAACAGGGGCACAGCTGGCCGTGCCTGGTGACGGACCCTGAGCTCCTCAGCCCCTCCCAGGATGCTTCAGCCAACACAGTCCATTTCCAATAAGGGGTGCACTTCAGAAGGTGGGTGCACCTCAATGCTGGGCCCACCCCAGGCTGGCCAGCTCTGCTTAAAGAGCTGCCCTGATGTACGAAATGGGTCATCTGTAGATCTCTTTTGGGTCAGGACTGAAAGTGGTTAGAGAAGCTGAATTTCAGCCTGGTTTTCCACGGTTCTGAGGAATCTGTCCATAATTAGAAAGACAGCCTCAAGCACACATACCTTTTCTCCCGTTGGGGCAAAGTCCCCTTTCTCTTTAACTTGTGCCTGTCCTGGTACTCCTGGAGGTCCACTGACCCCTTGATCGCCCTGTTCACATAAAAAAAATTAAGGATTAAAGAGGTACAATAATCACATGAGAGGGGAGAAAATGCAGGCTAATAAACTAAACACAATGCTTATATTTATACAATTCCATTCCACCCTGTCCTTGACTAAGCCGTCAGTGGGAAGATGGAGATACAATGGAAGCCACTCCTGATATGAATGGATGCTACTTCCCACATGAGTGGAAGCTACTCCTGACATGAGTAAAGCCCGAAGATTCCAGCAGTGTGAATTTCAGGATCATTCTGCCATCAGGCCTGTGAACCACAGGGCCAAGTCCATACTCTATTCAATGGTGGCAGCCACTGGCACCAGCTTACACATCACTGAGGTAGGCTGCAGCTGGTGACCATCTCACTGGTTATGCTCAGGGATGTTTAGTGAGGAAAATAAGGACCAGGGGTCCACTGCTGGACCCCGTCTTCCCAAAGGGAAGATGACTCTCCCAGACACATTTCCGCTGGGCCCCTCTGAGCCGCTGAGTTGGAGCCCACAGCTAACTCTGTAGCTTTCATCTTATAGTGGCCTGCATCACTGCTGGAATGATAACTGTGAACTCACAGTTATATCCTAACTTAAGCCTCAGCTGGCTTTCTTACTGAAGGAGGACATTTGGACAGAACTCTATGCATAGATGATGTAAATTAAAACCCACATTCTTTGCTTGCAAGATCATATTCAGAGCCCTGAGAGAAGCCTCGGGTATGACATAAGATGGCATAAACTCAGTAATCTTCGAAGTAGACACTAAACCCTGGGAAACTAAATCACATGCAGAGACAAGGAGCCATGTTATAAGGAACCTAAAGGCTGACTCCAAGGTGGGAATTCTATCAAGTCTAGAGCTGTGATTTTTAAACATGGAAACACAAAGCACAGAGCACTCACCTTGTCCCCTTTTGGTCCTTGAAAACTTGAGCCCATTTGTCCCTGTAGATTAGACAAGAGGGCTTATTACTAGGGAAGTCATTTCATTCAGTCATCCTGGAAGCCCCTGTATTACTGCACTGTTGAGAGCAGAGCTCAAGCATCAGCTTGGTCTACAAACAAGCTGCTCAAGAAAACTTTTCAAGAAAGAACTAGGTCTTAGAGGCCAAACAGTATTCAATGTCTATGAAATGGTTTTCAGACTATTAATGATAAAGAATTCTATAAAAAGCTCTCCTTAAACTGAAGGTTTTTAAATTCTGGCTTAAAAAAAAATAAGACAATGGTCGGTCAGTGAGTTCCAAGTAATCACCAGAAAACAAGTGGAAAGAAAGAAGGAGGGACTCATAAGTAATTGACAGATGATAATAGGTAAATAGATGATACATAGATAGAAGATAGTAAAATGTAGATGATGATAGATATGATATGTTATATGATATGATATATTATATGATAGGTGAAGATGCTGATAGAGCTGGATTCACAGGTAGTATAAGGTAGATAAGTATACTAGATAGGTAAATGGTTGATAGATAACTGGGTTAAAGATGAGGTGATTTTTCTCAAACTATTACAGGAACTTAAAGAATGAGTCATGGAAACTTCATGATAGTTCCATATAAAGGCCAAAGAACAATAAATAAAAAAAAGTCTTTACCTTTTCACCTGGAGGACCAGGAGGGCCTGGCGGACCCTGTAAGGGAAAGCATTCTCATTAACTATGAGTCACGACCTGCTACCATATGGATAGAAAATGTCTCCAGAGGCCCCCATTGAGAGTTTGAGGAGATTGGGTGGTGTGCATGCTGGCCTCAACAATGGATGAATGCTTTGTGTTCACACTGAATGGACTCCCAGGAGGCAGGAAAAGGTGAGTCACAGGGCTTCTGCCTGGGAAGGGGAATTATTGTTGCCAGACACTTCCTTGCTTTCTATCTCTGCTTCCTGGCGGCCATGAGGTAAGAAGCTTTGCTCTGCCATATGCCACCCACCATGATCCTGGGCCACCCACCCCAATACTGGGCCACCCACCATGACACTCAACCACCCACCTCAACACTAGGCCACCTACCTCAACACTGGGCCACCCACCCCAATACTGGGCCACCCACCATGACACTCAACCACCCACCTCAACACTAGGACACCCACCCTAATACTGGGCCACCCACCCCAATACTGGGCCACCCACCATGACACTCAACCACCCACCTTAACACTAGTCCACCCACCTCAACACTGGGCCACCCACTCAACACTGAGCCACCCACCACAATACTCTGCTTCCCATAAGCCTAGAAAGAACCGAGCTCAGTGAGGATGTACAGAAAGCCTGGAACTGTGAGCTAAGATAAACGGCTCTTCCTTTAAAGTTGACTCTCTTAGGTATTTTGTCATAGTGGCCAACAAACTAACCTGACCCTCGTCAGCGTCCAGTCCTGCTTGGTGCTACAGTTATCCTAGGATTCTGTGGTTAACATCTTTCTTATAAAGTTCTGCAACTAACTAGGAATGGTCCGGGACAATCACTGCCATGTTGGGTTTATTTTCCCCTCAGACCCGCTAGGCCTTGCTCTGTGGGCACAGATGAGCTCAGAGGCTCCTGGACGGGCTTCTGGGCATGAATTGCTATCAGGGCTCTTCAACCTGGAGGCACCTGTCTGGGAACCAGGTCTGTCTACTTCAGATGGAAACATTTATCTTTTGAAAAGTTCACAACACTCCAAAGAAGCAGAGTGTGGTGAAATGAAAATGACAAAAGGAAAAAAAAGCTTTCCATGTTCACAACAGAATTCTGATTAAGGGCTGGGAAGGAGCCTCAGTGGTAGAGCGCTTGCCTCGCATGCATGAGGCCCTGGGTTCAATTCCTCAGCACCACATAGGAAGAAAAAGCCAGAAGTAGCATTGTGGCTCAAGTGGTAGAGTGCTAGCCTTGAGCTGAAGAGCTGAGGGACAGAGCACCTAGGCCCAGAGTTCAGGCCCCACAACTGACGAAAAAAGGAAAAAAAAAATCTGATTAATCCAGAAAGGAAAAGCTGGGTAGCCTTCATCCATGAACATGAGCTCACTGATTCAAAGAATGTAAAGGAGAGTCCATGTACATACACAGAGAGACTAGGACTTCCTGGGTTTTACCCTCCCCCAAACAAAAGAAACAGAGAAAGAAAGGGTAAAAAGTAAAAACAAGAGACTTAAAAAGTGTGAGTCCGAGACTCTCTGGAGGGGAGGCTGGGCCAGGCTCTATCAGAGCAACTCACGCTGCAGCACGTGGTGGGTGCCTCTCCCTAACTCCAGCCTGCCTGAGGCCTCACACACAGAGGTGACCTCTGCTGGGAACACCACTGCACAGGATCCCTGGGGAGCGGGATCCCGGAACCCAGGCCGGGACTGTGTCTCTACTGCACAGCCCAGAAGCCCTCAGTCTGAGGGACTCAGCCACGCCCACAGGGGATGCATGTGATGATGTCTTGGGGACCACATCCGCTGCTTCCTGAGAATCACCCTTCAAACAGAGCTCTGGGACTCAAGGCTGTCCCTAGGGGCCGGCCACAGATTTTCTTGAGAAAGAAGTTGATTCTGCTGTAGGCCAAATAAAGGGGACCCCAGTGCGGTGTCTTCATTTGATTCCTACCTACCCCATCCCTCCATACACCTGTCCTTTGAATGACTGCCTGAGTGAGGAGCCCCCAAACTTACTGGCGGTCCGGTAAATCCAGGAGGGCCAACAGGTCCCTGAAGGCCTGGCAATCCGGGTGAGCCCTGTGGTGGGAAGAAAGGAAGTAGTCACAGCCTAGCCTGAGAGTGACTCAGCACAGGGTCACCAAGGCTCCCAACACTTACAGGTATCCCTGGATGGCCAGGAAATCCTCGCTCTCCTTTCAACAGCATCCCGGGCACCTGGCCAAGTATTTCACCTGGATCTCCCTACAGCGGGGAAAAGCAGAGGAAGAGTAAATACTGACATCCGTGTATGGAAATGCAAGAGCCACTCGATACCACGCATGCTTCACTGGGATGAACTGGTCCCCGGCTAGGGCTTAGACTCTGTCTATGCTGGAAGTAGGCTGACACCTGTCCCCTCATCACTGAATATGAGGGACCAGTATGAACAGCCGCACACACACCTCCACTGCTGCCAGCCCTGGAGACAGAGATGGCTACTGGGAGGGATTTGAGCCACCTTCCCAGCCCCATATAATCATTTAAGGTAACAACGTTTAGGAAAACGTTTTCATAGGTAATAGGTCAGCTGAAGTGATTTAACCCAAATGTGTTCTTATGGCATCTACTGTCAACTGATTCCTTGTAATGAATGTAGTAAAATGAAATAAAGTGAAATCAAATCAAATAATAAAAATAACACATACCTTCATCCCTGGTAACCCAGGTGGTCCCTAGAAAAGAAAGTCTGGGCATTAGTTTTGTTTTATCCAACACGTCATTGAGATATGAGTACAAAGGAACTTAGAAGAGAGAAAGAACAAAGAGAGAAAGAAAATCTGCCTTCCACAGTCCTATACTCACGGGATTTCCACTGAAGCCTGGCAGGCCAGGAGGCCCAAGCGGGCCCCTCTCTCCCTGAAAGAGAAACCAAGGCAGTCAGAGCCACAGCACTCATCCCCAAACCATGCTTCCACATCTTTCAGAGAAACTTCTGGGTTGGTTACACATCACTTCCTAAACGTGTTATCAGAAGCTACATCTCTGGAAGCTATCTTACAAAAGAAAAAATACAATCAACAGCAGAATAAATAGGATAAGTATGCATAAGAGCATTTTTCCTGTTTGATTTAGCAATTAACAATAAGTAATATATTTAGTGCTAAAGAGCAATTTTAGGATAAGAGTTCACCAAAAAAGAAAGGCGTATGTATAGCTTTCCTGTGCATAAATACAAATAAACTCTATTTCCTTATTATCAAATGAAGATTTATGATTAGGGAGCGTTCCAATTGTGACAAACAAAACTGAATCACATGGTCTGACTTCTTGCTATGTAAAATTACACAAGCATGCACTAAGGGGAGAGTCTTGGTTCTAAACTTTACCTTTGTACCGTTGCATCCTGGGATACCTGGGGGTCCTGGGGGACCATCTTGGCCGGGAATACCCTGCAATACATCAAATGAAGAGTCACCAAAAATAGAAATCCCCTTGCCAGTAAAAGAATTCACAAGAATCTAGAGTGCATTGTGTATACGTACAGGAAGTCCTGGGTTTCCAGGGTAACCGGCTGCTCCTGGGGGTCCCTGCAGAGATGCAAACAAAAGCCTTTCAATCAAGCACAAGGAACCTCATTTCCTCCTTCACATCCTCCTGATTAATGGAGCCAGAGCCCCATCCTCGGAGTTTTGAACATGCGCACTGCACAGGGGAGGGGGTGGAGGAGGTGTTGAGGGACCAGGCCCTGGAGCAGCAATCCCCGTTGGAGAGCAGAAAATCACATCCAAAGCCGACGCTCCACTACCAAAAGCAAGTCTTTTTGTAATATCTCAGTTAAAAGTAATATATAATTCATGTTCCGACTGTAAACGTTTGAGAAGAGGAGTTGATAAGCTCAATCAGTTCGTTGGGAGAAAAACTCAGTTATTGCTACCTGGGTCCTGATCTTCTCTCTCTTTAATAGTTCAGGGTGGCCTCTACCCAGTGGCAGGGTTGTTTCTTCACTGCCCCAAGAGTTACAGGACTGCCAACACGTGCCTTCATGGCCCTATTCTCCCTTTCACTATGCAGCAACTGAACATTTGGCAATGTCTTCCAGCCTGTCTGCCTTCATTTTCTTATACAGAGGATCACCAATTGTTTTGCCCCTTCCAGGGATGGAGGTAGAAAAGAAAGTAAAGAGAAGAGGAGGAGGAGGAGCAAGCTCAGCTCAGAAAATACCATGTCTCTTCCTGACAAATGAAGTCTTACTTTAACGTCTGGACACATCATTAACAGCCTCCTCCCCAAAATTCAAGTCGACAGGCAAGGGACCCTTCAAGAAGAACAATAGGGAGGAAGGCATTGCGAATAACCCAAGTTGTTCTGCGCATGCACAGCAGCAGTGAGCAGATGTGGGGCGGCGGTTCGGGACCACCTGCACCCACTGAGAGAAGGAAAGGCAGAAGGAAGGGCACAGAGAGAGGTGAAGAAGGAAGGCAGCCCCCCCTCCCCCACCCCCCAACCTCGGGACGGAGGGATGTATCCACTCCGGAGGCTCTCAATCCCTTGTGTGTTATTGTAAGCCATAAACAACCACAGCTCTTACCCTTGTCCCTTTTGTGCCCGGAAGTCCTGGCTCTCCAGCATCGCCCTGGAAGAGAACAGAGACCCCATTAGCACATTTCTTTATCACAAGAATAGAAATGTCTGGATTCTGCTGCTCACCCCATCCCTGCAAAGCTCACCTTTTGTCCTGGTGGTCCATGTGGCCCCTCGGGTCCCTGCATTCCAGGAAACCCAATGACACCTTGTAATCCTGGGAGGCCTCTTTCTCCCTGCAGGAAGGACACAGAGGTCAGACAAATGACAGGGGAAGATAAGTGGAGGGAGACTAGTGGACTGTAACAGGCCATCGTGGGAATCACCTTGGTGGTAGAAGATACTAGATGGCTAGTAACGTGTCACTGGTGGGCTTGTGTGCAAGATAGTTCTGGGAGACTCTGGCACCTGGGTCAGTAGACGGCCTGAGAAGATCTGTACTCCCATAGTGTGGGCTGGCACCATTCAAACAGATGAGGCCCCCAGGGAAGAGCAGAAGAAAGAACAATTCTGTCTCTCCTGGAGCTGATTCTCATTTCCTCCTGCTCATGCATCACAAGTCCAGTCCCCAGGCTTTGGACCTGAGACTGCACCAGCGGCCCCCAGCTTCCCAGGCCTTCTGCTTGGACTGAGTTTTGACACTGCGTTCCCTAACTCCAGCCCAACGGATTGTGGAACTCTGTAGCCACCAAAATCACAGTAATCAATTCTCATAACAAATACCCTTTTGTTTACCCACCCACCCATCCATTCATCCATTCATCCACCCATTCACACATCCATACATCCACCCATTAATCCATTCATCCACTATTCACTCACTTGTTCATCATCCATCCACACATGCATACATCTACCCTTCATTCATCCACTCATCTCTCCATCTACCTATCCACCCACCCCTCCATTCATATACTCATCTATCTATCTATCTATCTATCTATCTATCTATCTATCTATCTATCTATCTATCTATCTATCTATCTATCCATCCATCCATCCATCCATCCATCCATCCATCCAGTCCACCCATCCATACACCCATACACTCACCTATTCATACACCCATTCATCTTATTGGCTGTTTCTCCATGCCTAATGCACCAGTCTTTCCAAGATCTACCTACTACTGTGTGAGTCTACAGTGAGTGTTGATGGATGCAGTGGAGGTGCTTTTCTTTTTCTTAGGTTAGACTCTTAGGGGAAGAAAATGCTCAGGCATGATACATGGTGTTTAGTATTATATATAGTACTGTTTTATTAGATAAATGGTGTAATAGTGGAGTTTTTTTTCACTAATTTGATTGTTCTTTCACTCATTCTCTAGTGATCAATAAACTACATGCTGAGGTGTCCGGTGGGTCTCTCTCTCCACCCCTTTGAGAGATGCTGACAGCTGCAGATCTCTGCACACAGAGCCATGGTGTTCTCGATGGTCAACAGGGCTGAGGGTGGACTTGGATAATTTGTTTTTTTCAAAAGTAGTTTTGCAAAGGGAAGGGAGGATTGAGGTTTGAGAGAGCCTCTGTTTCCAGAGGAAAAAGGAATTTTAAATATGTTTAAAATACGATTATGCAAATCATTGGATGACATTTCAAGGGCTGCAATACATTTTGAAAAGGACAAAAAAAAAAAAAAAACACTCAAAATTCTGAGGGTGGAACTGGCCTTCAAAGAAAGAATGCAAAATCAACACAGGAAGAGCAGGGAGAAGGCAGGGTGCTGGGAAGGCAGGGGTAGGGCTGAGTCCGGGTGACCAGACAATGTGGTCATGACTGAGAGGGAGGAAACACAGAGGAAGGAGATGGCACTGATGTTTGATCCCGAGATATTACATGACCTGTTACCACAGGGGCCCAATGACGTGCTATTTTCAGGAGACTGCCATTTTTCTTTCAACTGCCCATCTGAAAACATGACAAGAAACCAAGATACCAATTCCTTCTTAGAACAAACCACAGTGAGCTGGTTCTTAACAGGAAGATGGAGGGACGTTGTCAACCCCAGGGGTGGGTAGGGGTAGGAGGGGAGGGGGAGAGGGGCGCAGTTCAGAATTCACTGCTTCTCTCCAAGTTCTATCAGTTCAAAGTGTACAGGAACTGGCACAGGGCACGTGGCCTTCCCTCTCCTCAAGCATGCGGTCACTCATGGGGAGTGACAAAAAAGCCTTTCTACCAAGCAAGGCCTCAGTCACCCTTGCCAAGCCACTTCTACCAGTTTCACACCAGCCCACAGCACTGTGGCTATGAGCCTGAGTGGCCAGACACCGGCCTTTGTGAGATCTATGCTGGACTGGAGGGTGAGTCAGGAGTCTGACTAGCAGGTAGAGGCTGAACAGCAATCAGACTAAGGAAAATGGCAGCTTTTTAGGGCCAGTGGCTCAGGGAATCTTCCAGAAAGAGTGGACACCGACACATGGCAGCTACGGCAGCTGGGGAGCTGATGTGTATGGAACGCTATGTGGGATGTGTGCAGAATCCCTGAGGCCTGGAGTTGCTAGGAAAGAGCAAGGTTCCCAGATCACATCTGTGCAAGCCAAAGGAGACCGTGGGAATAAGATGTAACTCCAATAAACACTGTCAACAAAGGAGTATGCCCACCGCCACCCTTGTGCAGGGGAGAAAAGTCCCACTCCAAAGATAATGGTGCTGAGTGGCAAAGAGCTGGCCCCAAGCACACGGACAAATAAAAAGAAATCATGATTGAAGCGTGTCCCCTCACATGACCCAGCCTGAGCGCGGAAGGAAACGGGAAAGGCACCAGCAGCGCACAGAAGCCTTCTAGTGCATTTGACAGAGTATTTTTAGGACTCAATTAATAGCGGCGGTACTGCCAGGAGGCCAGCGGAGATAAGATTTTTAAATTCTCATTTTAATCATGGAATGCATGAAGGGAAAGGAGCCAGATGAACTGATTGCTACCAGCTTCTCATTGAGTCAGCACTGAAGCCAGAACTAGAAATGAGGTCAGGCAAGCCCAGGTTCCTGCATTTCTAGGTCACTGGAGCAAGCTCGTTCCCGGCAGAATCTGAAGCAATTCTCCAGCATGTGAGCCCCAGCGAGGGACCCTCTCATGTTCACTTCACAGATGGGGGGGCGGGGGGCCTCCATCCTGATGCTGAACTGACCCGTCATGCCCCTGGGAACAGAATAACGAAACCTGAACTCCCAGAGACCAGCTTTTACCACCAGCACGCATTCTTTCCCAAATGTCACCAGAGCGTTTAGGCAACCACATCCCCCAGGAGTTTTGAAATGAAGTCGCTTGGAAGGAAACGACGCCCCCGCAGCGCGCCCCTTGCCATCTCCCACAATCCCTTCCAACTTCCCTAATCTTTTTTCCAGGCAACACTGCACAGGAATCATCTACTCCCCTGTCGGCCACTCATGGGAACTGGATCGGAGCAGATAGACAGGATGGCCGCTCGAGCGGCCATACAATTAGTTGGCACAGAGCGTGTACTGCGTGGGAGCCGAGAGACTCAGCCCAGCTTCCAGCAGATCCCACTGGGGACAGAGGAAGAGCAGGAAGCTGGATGCACTGCGCCAAGGCCTCTGATGCCAGGAGTTTCCAGGCCAGACTTTGCAGCTGTTCTGGGCAGTGCTCCAACTGTGACCACCCTTAAGCTGCAGCTTCAGGCCCAAAGTGAAGAAAGCCGGGGAGGAGGAAACCCTTCATATCTGGTTCCCACAATGAGCTCGTGGAAGGCAAGGCCGACAGGATGGTGGCCACACAATTCATACCGGGAAAAACCGAACACCACTCCAGGTGCTGGTGGCTCATGTCTGTAATCCTAGCTACTCAGGTGTCTGAGATCTGAGGATCGTGCTTCAAAGTCAGCCCAAAATCTGTCGTGAGAAACTCTTGTGTCCAATGAAGCAGCAAAAAGCCAGAAGAAAAGGTGTGACTCAAATGGTCAAGTGCTAGCCTCAATGTATACTAATCTACAAGAAAACACTTCTTTTTCCAATGCAGAGATGACAGGAGACTGAGGAGACAGAGAAGCTAATTTTTTATGCTCTGCTCTGATCATTACACCCAGAGAGACATGCACAAAATTATCATACTGTATCAGAAAATATGCCCAAACATTATGCATCTGTATAAAGTAAAACAATGCTCTAACCTCCAAAGAAGTCATTTTAATGACATTTAATCTTTTAAAAAATAAACTAAATCTTTACTATATGTACTTTATGTACCAGTGACAAAAGTAAATCGCTTCTGGGTCTTCAAACAATAAAATGCAGAAGTTGGGGGCCAGGGAGAACAAAAATTCTATTGCCTATAAAGATGAAAGAATAGAGCATGGAAAACAAACTTGGAACTGAAATTAGCCACTCTAAATTAGGCATGAAATAGAGTTTCATGCATGGAGCACCTTAAGATGCTTGCTTACTATATCATCTAGAGCAAGCATATAAAGCACCCATAAAATGTGGACAGAAAAAGGTCTTTCAGAATGCCCAATTACTTCCCTTCCTCTTACAATGCTTTATGGAAGCAAACTTGCAATTCATGAAATTAAAAGCTAAACTACAGCTCCTTCACATACATCTTAGAAACAACTTAGAAATTCAAACACAAATAAAGCACCCAGGACAGCTGAAGTAACTTTGAAGTAACTAACCTTGGAAGATAACTATCAACAACAAAAACTGCGAACACAAAATGTATCTAAAAGAGTCATCAAAAAACCTTATCTAAGACCATATGATAGCTATTTCCACAGCCATTATGGAATCCTTAGGTTTAAACCAAACTTTCATTGATTTTTTTCATCTTTAAATAATAGATCAGGGCCAGGCATGGTGGCTCTTGCTTATAATCCTAGCTACTTAGGTGGCTGAGATCTGAGGATCACCGTTCAAAGTCAGTCCCAGGCAGGAAAGGCCTTGAAATTCTTATCTCCAATAAGCCACTCAGAAAACTGGAAGTGGTGCTGCAGCTCAAGTGGTAGAGCACTAGCCTTGAGCTGAAGAGCTGAGTGGCAGAGCCTAGGCCCAGAGTTCAAGCCCCATGACCGACCAAAAACAGTAATAAATAACAATAATAGGATCAGGATCTTCACAAGGGACCACAGCACACACTAAATGCGGCCAGAGCCGGGATCTCTTTACATACTGGCCCCCTAAGGCTCGATTAGCCATAGAAAGCAGAATGAATCAGAGGAGCAATGCTCATTAGAGAGGCTGGCAAAATTCTTCCCCTGTGTTCTTTAAAGACAAGACACTAT